TACTTTAGTCACGTTTGAGGTGTTGACAACTGTGAGCAACTGAATCAAGGCCAGTATGTGCTAGCCATAATAGCACAATCTACATGCAAAATGAGGAGCACTTGATTTTCAAATATATTTGAACTTGTCACAGCATTTAAAACCTTTTCAGGATCATATTTATTTTGGAAATTTTTCACAGAACTATTCACTTTCTGTGGGACATAGTTTGGAAACATGCTCTAATCCACTTGCAAGTAAACATGAATTGCTTGCACTTTTGTTCTTTTTGTTTATCTGATATTTGCTTTTTAACTATGATGTAAACTAAATATATATGTTGAAGTATCTATTTATAGCAACTAATAGTAAATATATAAAAGAAAAATGGCATATTAGAAGAATTATTATCAATCTTTAAAATTGTTACTCTAAAACAAGCAGTCAAGTGTTAAAAAACAAAATATTTTTTTAATGTCATTAGATTTTTTTCTGTTATTTTATGTATATCTGCTGCTTTGTTTTGCATAATAACTTGAATTGTTTTAGGAACACGTTAAGGATTTTTTACATGTACAGATTATGAATTATTAAAAAATTTATATTCATGTTTATTTGTTGTCATTTTTCTATTTGACTGTTTGGTTACTAGATCATCATAAGTGTAAATAATGTATTTGTTATATTGACTGAATTATCTCATTAAGTTTTATATTTTAAAAAATTTAGATTTTATTTTTAATTTATGTGTCAGTTAATGTAACAAAGATATCTAAACAATTAAAAAAGTTTAAATTTTGATTAGAGAAAAAATTCCATATTAATTATGAAACTGCAAGTATTAATAATTTCAGCTTTTTTTTTTTTTCCTTTAAACAGTAATGGTTTTTTTTACAATAAAAATATACATTAAATATTTTAGATACTTAAAAAATTTTTAAGAAATTTCTTTACTTTACAGAATTTGATAATTTTTATAACTTTAAATGTAGAAAAATAATTCATAAAGATGTATTCATCATTTGTACATGCATATTTACAATAAAAAATAAATTATAAAAATGAAGAAAAATTTTAACCAATACTATTAGTAATTTAAATTTTAAAATGTTTATAAATAATTAAGTCTCTAAAGAAATGAATGTAGCTTGTTTGGTAATGTATGACCTTGTTGTTTATTAGAAACCTTCTTCTATTGGATACATTATAAAAAGAATTATTTTGACTCATAATTATCTTCTCTGATGATTTTGTCCTTAGTTCTTATTGTTAAAGAATCTTACAACCTGATGGTAAGATGTTATTTATACAAAAAATGATGTAGACATTATAGAGATTTATGTGAGCAGGCAAAAAATTATGTTCAAAGTTGTAAAAACTGAAGTAGTAATAGTAATAAATATATATATATATATATGATTATTTAATATTATGTATGATTAATANACTAATGATATATTTTTGTTAAAATTATTATAACAATTATAAAAAAATAAGTGTATAATAATTAATTTTTTACTTTACAAGATAGTATGCATTATATAGTATAAAGGTTATTACTTTTGAATATTTTAAATATTTTTTATGTACAAAATATTATTTATCATACTATATACAATATTTTTGTTTACAATAGCATTAATTTTAAAGATTAATTTTTAAAATGTCACAACCATTTCATAATATATTAGATGTTAAATTCAAACTATTACATATTGTATTGCATATTGGTGAAATGTAATTAAAATATATTGCATAAATTTTTCATTTCTGATGAAATTATTTGTTAGAAAGCCAGTTAATTAAATTTCTACAGAAAGTTATCATCAATATTTGTTTTAACAATGCTAATTTTTTAATTTGATACATATTATTGATATATTAGAAAAATAAGATGTACTCTACTTATTTATATCGATTCTAATGAAATCAGAACATTTTGAATTTCTAATTGTATTAGTTAAGAGAAGTAAAAATATTATACAGTAATTCTAAATTTCTTCATTGACATAAATAGAAAATTCAAAAATTTTAAGATGTTTTTACTTTCAAAATTCTGATTTATTTAGTATTATTTTATTGATATACAGTTATTTATAAATGAGTTTGAATTGTGAGATATAAAATCATAAAACTTAATATAAATTACCACATTTATATATTTAATGTCCCAGATGGTTTAATCACAATTGTGAATCATCTGTACATTTACATGTAACACTGTTATAATCTTATAAATGTACAAATTAAACTTTATAACATTATTAACTGTTAATAGCTTTTTCAAGCTGTAATAATCATAGTATACATTTATGCAAATATAAATTGATTTTTCTGATTAGATTAAAGTAATGTTATTTTAAAATTTTAAATTTAGAATTTAAAAAAATAAATAATGGTATTTTTCTAATTATATTATGAATCACACAATTTACTTTAATAGAATTTTTATATTGATATATTGAATATGAAAAATTCAATAAAGCAAATTATCAACAATTTTCAGGGTCACCATGAGGTTGTGTAATTTATGAAGTTAAGGATTAATAAGCTGTCAAAATCTCTAAATTATAAATATTTTGAATTAATTTACTAAATAAAGTTAAATAGAATAAAATTTATTTACAAAAACAAATTAATGATCTGAATGATTTTCAAATCAAACAAAATGAGACTGTATTTGTAATTTAGTGGTGAACAGTATATCAGAGTGGTTAAACAAAACAAATTAAAAGTAATCTGTGACTTTTTTCTGTTGAAGATTGAAAAAGTAGAAAATATTTTTGGTGCAAAAAGAGTACAAAAGGAGTCAAATTTGGCAAAATGTAGTCAAACCTTGCATCATTGTATGCATCCAATAACATGCAATCTATCACATGTTTGTGTAAGACCACATCCATTTAAAGGGGTGAATGTCCTTAAACATTGACTTTAATTTTCTGAGTACAGTAGAATGGTTTGCTAAAATCAGATGTTTGAATTGCTCTAAAATCAGAGGTCAAACCTGTCTGTTTACTAGAAGAAAATCTATATTACTCAAAATAGAACATTTATTACAGTACAGATTTTTATTCTTCACATCAAAGTGTAAAAAAGCAACCATTATTGGAAATAGGGTTATTTCTTGGGGTTGTGAAGGTAATTTATGGTTCAGTTTAAGAAACTCTGGTAAAATTTTTGTTTGTTTTATTGCATGAAAATTAGCATTGTGACAAATGGCCATTTTGCCAGGAAACCACAAATTTTGATATTTGTTGTTTCCACTGTTGCAATATACAGTAAATGCCTTAATAGGATTTTACTTAGGATAGAATACACTATGCAAGCTGAAGTATTTACCAAATACCTTAATTTGATTAGATGTAAAAAATATATGTAAATTTTTGTAATTTGTATATCTCAATGGATAAAAGGGAATGCTAATTTAAATCTATTTACTTTAAAAGAAATGCAAATTTTCTCTCTGCTGATATTTTATTTTATTTGTAAAATTTTAAATTCTACTTTTCTATCATTTAAAATTCAAAAAGTTTTATTATACAAAGTTTTTAAACTTAACATTGATTTAGCTACATATTGTTTCTCGAGTCTTTTAGAAAATGCTTTAAAATTACTAAGTTCTGATGATGATGTATTGATTATAGCTTATGTAAATGAGTTGTTGTACAGTTAGTGAACATTGTTGGATGTAATTGTTTTCAAATGTCAGTTTCAGTTAAAGCATTCTGAAAGTTTAATTTTATCAATTCATAAGCATAATATAAATTTAAAGTGTAATACAGAAGCTTTTCACCTTTATTTCAAGATATTATCTGTATTAAAATTTAGATGAGATAAATAAAATAGAAAATATTTAGTTTTTTTGTATTAATTTAATCTTTAGAAATAAACTTCAGTTTAAGATAAGACAAAAATAAAGATATAAAATTATTAAACTTAAGTTTTTTTCAAGACAATTATGCCTCTTTCCCTGTCTTGGAAATGAACTATTTCATATCAATAGTTTTTGTAATTTAAGATCTTATAGGCAAGAAACTATTCACTTCAGTTGATATTTTCTCTAACAATATTAATGCTTGTTTAATCTTTCTGACAAGTCATTTCCTTGAAGAGAATTGAATCTCTATCTTTTGTATTAAGATGTTTTTCCCTTAACTATCCAATACTGGGATAGAATAAACACACACAACACACCAATACAAGCACACTTGAAATTAAGAAATTGATTAATATGTTCATCTGTTAATATCTAAGACAGACATCTTCAGGCATATAACACAGAACACAATGGCTACATTAACTTAAAATCCAAGGATTTTAATGTAGCCATTTTATTAATATTTTTTAATTTCAAGTATGCTGGTATTGGTGTATTTTGTGTGTTTAATATTTTGCCAAATAAGCAGCCACATTAGTTTTATTTTAGATGCATTAATCTTAAATTCTGGTTAAAAAATTAATCTGAATTTATTTATTCTATTCAGAAGAAGAAATCTAATTAAAAGAATATTTCATAAATCAATTGTACTAACAATTTTTTATTAGATAGATTTATTATAAATAAATTATTAGTATAAAATAAAAGTTATTCAACAGATAGCCTTTAAGAAAATATATATATATATATTTCTTTTCTTAAAGGCTATCTGTTGAATACCAAAACTAAACTGAAATCCATGAAATTTAATCTATTGCTCTTTTCACATGAAACTTAAGAGTATAATGACTGGCAAAATATTACTTATTTATATTTTCAATAATAGTGAGAGAACTTGTCTGTTGGGTTGAAAGGAAAATTTTTCCGATTTAATAAATATCAGAAAATAAACTATAGAGCTCAAATAACCACAACAGGTTATTTTAAGAATATCAAGGACATTTAGACGAAAATATAAGGAATTTGGATTTTTCAATATAGGGATCTAGTCTACTGTACTTAGAATATCAATAAAAGTAACTTTACATTTAAATGTATATGAATATATAGTTTAATTAATAATTAAATTTTATTACTTTTTAAGGATCCTACTGTGCAGCAAGTGACAAATCAGGCAAATCGTGCCCAGTCTGCTTTAGATGATTATAATCCATTTGCAGATCAACAACAGAAAACAGTTGTAAGAAAATCTAATAACGTTTTTGTTCTAAATTTTAATTTTAATTCAGTTTAATTAAATAAAAACTATATCTAGATTTTAACAGTTTAAATTACCATATTTTTTTTTATTTATAAGATGCACTGTTGTATTGAACAAGTCACATTTTTCATGTCACTTTTATGGGGGGAAATATTTTTTGCACTATAAGATGCTTTTGGCTTATAAGACACCATTCAAATTTTCAGATAAATTATAGTACAAAAATTTATTTCATCAAAATTGTAGACTAATAGAGAGGTTGAGGCGCACGTTTTAAACGTGTAAACGTGTACGTGTGACGTTCGGCGCCGCTTTCCCGTAAGCCTGAAAGTTTGACAATGGTGTATGGATAGTCGGTGGAATCACGCTCGACATTCCAAACACCATCGTCAAACTTTTAGGCTTACAGGAAAGCGGCGCCGAACGTCACACGTACACGTTTACACCTTTAAAACGTGCGCCTCAACCTCTCTATTGTTAGTAGTATATAATGATTTGTACATAATGCAAAAAGTGCATTTTATAAGGCAGAAAATATGGTATTTATGAAGTGATATTCATTTTATTAAGTAAAGTATAATTCATTGATATATTTAAATATTATAAAATTTGATTAGAATATTTTTTATAAAATGTCAAAAATTAATTTTATAAATTCAAATTTTGATAAAATAAATATAATAATAAAATATAATGGTAATTTTTTGAATGCTTTTTAGTTACTTAACCAGTAGCATTGAACATAAATTTTAAAGTATTGTATACTGTTCCCAACAATACTGCTCGAATGTAGTTACGGTCAGCAATGGCAAGAGTTATGACTTTATTTATAAAAATTTAACAATTTTGATTTTTAATTACATGATAGAAAAACAATACATATATTAATCTGGTAATTAAGAAGTCTTTATACTTTTTTAAAAAAAAAAACAATTTTTTAAAAAAACTTCAAAGGTTAATACAGAAGACAACTGTCGTTTTTTATCTATAATTGCATTTTATCAGAGACAAAACTACTAACAATTACATCCATTAGCTTTTATTACAATACATAGTTTTGTCTCTGATAAAATGCAGTTTTAGATAAAAAATAAGAGTTTTCTTCTGTATTAACCTTTGAGGTTTTTTAAATCTTTTAAGAAGTTTTTTTAAAGGATTGATTTTTCTTTTCTTTTTTTTTAAATATATAAAAAAAAAACTGCACCATAAATATATACATTTATTTGTTACTTATACAAATCTATATACTTTTAAGTGTTTTAGACCCTTATTTCATTTTTAAAATCTTGACTAACAAATATAAGTTATTAAGCATGATGAAATTCCCACACATTTCTTTGTTTTCAAATTCAAATAATTTTAATATTTAAAATTTTAACACACATTTAAAAATATTTCAAAATTAGACTATATTCAGTTGTTGCTATCAATAAATGTATTACAAAATTTAATTCTTTTGTATCTGTGAAGTGTATAAGACACCAACAATATAAACATAAAATTTAAAAACACTGATTAAAATTGGATTTTTATAAATTAAAACCTACAAAGTTGTAGATATGTTGTGTATATATCACGTATATAGAAAGCAGATAATGCACAATAATTTAGAAGATAATAATTGAATATATGAATAGTATTAAAATTAAATAGAATAAAGAATGCAATAATCAAATGATAGATTTGATTAGCTATTGAGCTAAAACTTTGCTAATTAATTTCACAGATATTTTTACTTTTGACTGAAGGTAGGCAGTTATTTAGCCATCTTATATTACATTTAATAATTAATTTTTGGATTAATTTAATTTAGATACTCTGGAAGAAATATTAGGAATTTGGAAGATAACAATATTTATTCAATATTTTTATGATAAAAATGTAATTTTTTGTTTAATTCCCCCGATAATTTACACACAAAGTTAGAGTATACACAAAATCAGTATCAAAATAAGTAGAGTATACAATGTATCCACTGAAAAAAATATATATTAAGTGCTATTAATACAAAGTCTCCTAATTAACAAATTTCAGGGAACTGAATTTTTGAGTTTATTAATTAGGATGTTTTTTACTTAGGATTGTCAGAAAATTTATTAAATTCCAAATTAATAAAAATAATATTTTAGAACACACACCAAGTTTAAGTTAATAAATATATAAAAAATACGACATTTTCACAAAGGTGAGAACCTTGCTTCTGTCAGTCTTTCCGCCATTTCGTTTCTACACCATCAGTGATCCTTAAGACAATTCACAAACATTTTTCAGAGACAACCTTCTTTTTAAGGCTACTGCCTCCGCAAAAAAATGTAAAATCAGGCAAAGCGTCCTCTGGTGTTTGTTTTTATATATTTATTAAATGTAATTAACGCCGGCCATGTCTTTTTACTATTTTTTATTTAAAATGTGATATTGTGACAGTGGCAACAAACACCAGAGGACGCTTTGCCTGATTTTACATTTTTTTGCGGAGGCAGTAGCCTTAAAAGGAAGGTTGTGTCTGAAAAATTTTTGTGAATTGTCTTTAGGATTGCTGATGGTGTAGAAATGAAACGGCAGAAAGACTGATTGAAGCAATGTTCTCACCTTTGTGAAAATGTCGTATTTTCTATATATTTATTAAATGTTAATTAATGCCGGCCATGTCTTTTTACTATTTTTTATTTAAGTTTAAGTTAAAAAAACTTTTCAAAAATTAAAAAATAAAAACAAAAGAACAAAATAAAAAATTTAAACATAATAAAATGTTATATAAGAATTTATATAAAGGAAAGCTGTGGAGCATTAGATATATGATTTGAATCTCTACATATTGTGTATAGTATTAAAAATTCTTGGCAAAAAAACTCAGTTATGTTTGCTTGCCTTTTTTGTTTTTTAAGTAATTTAAATGCCACTGATTCCCTTTTAAGGAATATTTTTATATCTATCAGCTGCTTCTTATGCTTGGATGAGCATTTCTAATGTATTTAGGACAGCATTTATCTCAGACCTTTTTAGTAGCTTTATTGACAGAGCTCTGCATTTTCTTCCATAATATCTTCAACTTTATATAATTCAATTCCATGTTAAGCCATTTCAGTGTTAGCTTCTGATGATACAACACAATTGTCATCAATTTGAACAAAATCATCAAATGTCATATCTTTAAAATGTACCATGTTTATTTCTGTCCAGTCACCGCTAAAGTCATTCTTAATGCTTTCATAATTTCCATTGGTTTATCCATTCAACAGTTCCAGAGCTGTTGAATAATTTTCTGCTGAATGTTCTCTACAGTAACACTGTTTTTAACATGTTTGGTGTTTTGACATCACATTTAGTAGTGTATTTCATTTATACTACCTTTTGCTATCTAATACAAAGATATTCATTGCAACATTAATATGCCATTAAATGTCCATGAACCACTGAAAACAACAGGTATGTTTAATATAAATTTAAGAATATAAATCCATTTTTAACTTAAATAAACACAAGTTTATGCATGTGAAAGCAGAAACTACTTCTACAGCACCAACATCCTGTTCCAATTCATGTTCAGCAGATCTGCATTGCTAGGTAACAGCTACTGATTGAAACACCATTGCTCAGTTATAACTGTTGATTCTGCTGAATGCAGCTATTAAACTATCTTAAACTGAAAAATCGGCTTTTTTGCAACTTTTAATAGTGGCTGCTTGCACTATTGCTGTTCCTAACTGAATAGAATTACTGCATTGCCTACAAAACATTTCATTTTACTAATGCCAATTTATTTCTATTTGACGAATCATTTGCCAAACAAACTGTAATGGTTCTTCCCAAAAGAGATCTCACCTTGATTCATCAGTTGGAGTTTGCTAGTTCAGTTTGCCAGAAGGAAGATTGCTTTAATGTTCTTTGGTTTCAAATCATTCATTTTATGGAGCTTGTCATAGTCAATGAACAGCAGAATTCTTCTGTTTGTGGTTAGAATTGAATGTTAATAGCCACTCCCTGAAAAGTGAATCTTTATTAGTTGGTGATTTAGCATTATTTCTGTTACATGGCAGATGTTTTACATTTTTTGAAGCATCTTGGTTTGGAATATTTGCCTATGAAAGTTTTTCAGATCCATCACTGTTTGCCAAAAAAAAGTACTGTTAAGAGTTCTTTGCTGCACCTTTCATCATGGCAAATTTCCCTTTAAGTGCTAGTTTTTATCAGAGGTTTACTGAAAAATAGTCCTGCTTCATCAGCATTGAAATTGTGTCTTACTTCATAACACTTCAAAAATATGAAGTAAGACACACAAATTGTGTCTTACTTCATAACTGTGTTATGAAGTAAGAGGCAATTAGAGGCATTACTTCATGAAGACTCATGTCAGATGCTAGCTGAACTTTCATAATCATTAGGAGTTGATCACATAACAGTTTCGAAACGTTTAAAAGGATTAGGAATGATTCAAAAGCAAGGACATTGGGTGCCGTACGAGTTGAAGCCGAGAGATGTCGAACGCCATCTTTTCACATGTGAACAGCTGCTTCAACGGCAGAAAAGGAAAGGTTTTCTGCATCGTATCGTGACAGGTGACGAAAAATGGATACACTACGATAACCCTAAGCGTAGAAAATCGTGGGGTAAGCCCGGTCATGCATCAACATCGTCAGCAAGGCCGAATATCCATGGTTCGAAGCTTCTGCTCTGCATTTGGTGGGATCAGCTAGGTGTAGTTTATTACGAGCTGCTCAAACCAAACGAAACTACTACAATTGATGCGTTTGAGCCAAGCATTGAAGGAAAAACGGCCGCTATATGAGCAGAGACACGACAAAGTGATTTTGCAACATGATAATGCTCAGCCACATGTTGCACAACCAGTGAAAACGTACTTGGAAATGCTTAAATGGGAAGTCCTACCCCCTGCCATATTCACCAGACATCGCCCCTTCCGATTATCACTTGTTCCGATCGATGGCACATGGCCTGGCTGAGCAGCACTTTTGTTCTTATGGAGATGCCAAAAAATGGGTTGATTCTTGGATAGCCTCAAAAGACGTGTTGTTTTTCCGACGTGGAATTCAAATGCTGCCAGAACGATGGGAGAAAGTAGTGGCTTTTTTTAAATAAAGTGTTAATTTTCACAAAAAAAAACAGCGAGAACTCATTCAAGGTCCTTATATATAGTTTATTTAGTTTATATATAGTTTGTTTAGATGATATAGCAAGCTTTGGTATGTTGATATATATCAGGTTGGCCAACCTGCGGCTCGCGAGCCACATGCGGCTCTTTGAAGAATTATTTGTGGCTCTCGATAAATGTACCCGAGTTCCCTTTTCATTTTTGTGTTATTATATTTTAAAAAACTATTATCGTTTCGTATGTGTTTCAAAATGTCTTTTAAATTACTAACAACAAATATGAAAGACTAAGTGCAACGTTGTAGCAAATTTCATTTCTGTCCAAGTTAAGAATGATATGACTCATTGAAAACTGCGCGAACGAACATAAACAGTGGCGTAATCGTCCGTTATCGACTGACTCCAGACCAATTTTGAATTTGTAAACTGTCATTGCAATGGGCAGTTGACATTGTGCTCTGGAGGAAACAATTTGTATCACTCTTGCTACGGATATAATTTGTAATCTGGAATTTTTTGCATACCTTTTTAATACGTATTTAATTGCGGCTTGCGAAAAATTTCAAATTTTGAAAAATGGCTCAGACTATCAAGGAGCTTGGCCACCCCGGATATATATGTTATGAACTAGGTGATTAATTAATAGGGCATTATTTATAATGGCTAAAATGGTCACACAGCTTAGAATTATTTATTTATTTTGTGAATTATTTCAAAGTATTTTAAAAATGATATGAGATCTTTTAGTAACTTCAAAGTCACTTTGATTTTTGACTTTTTGACTTTTTGTATTATTGTCAAATACACTGATTTTGTAAACATTTGACTGTTTTGACCTTTGCTGCTATTAATTCATTTATTGATTGTTGAAGTGGTTATTTATATCACTTAATCATTACTTTTTTTCAAAGAAGAAAACACTATTTTAAGAGGCAAAAGTAAAATTAAAATTTTGCACCAGATTAACTACTGGTAGCATGAATTTAAAATTTGATACTAAATGCAATGTGCACATGCAATTCAGACACGAGTGCTGATTGGCTAGTGCAGTGCTTCTTAATCAGTGTTCTGCAAACCTACGTCAAGTGTTCCGCAAAAGAAAAGATTTTAAAGTTTTTATTCAAATTTATTCCCATTAATATAGTGAATAAAATAGAAACATAGAATTATCTTTAAATATAGCAAAGTTTATTTGTTTATTGCTTCATTGTTTCCTGAGAATAGTAAACATGGAATTGCTTATCAATTTTTGAATATATTGATGCTAATACTCCATGTAATAAAAAGTATATGAATGGTGTTTCATGGCCTCAGAAAGGTTGAGAACCACTGGGCTAGTGTATGTTGGATGATCACTCGTAAAGATATTATTATCAATTTGCCCGACCAGGTGATAGTAGTATTCATAGTGATTTGGTCAGTCTGACAAATTACAATAAAAAACCTGAAATTTATTACAGTGCCCAATTTTGTTTGTAAAAATTCATAATGACTAGGCATTATGAATAATGCCCATATTAATCACTTAATTATTGATCAATAAAAATAAAAAAAAATTATTTTTTTAATCACTTAGTCCGTAACATATATACAAAGTTTAACTACTAAGCATTTTCAAATTTTTTGGTTTATTATTGGAGCAATATTGTCTTTCCTTGCTTAAACTCCGGAGTTTATTATCTTTCAATGGGAAATAAGTGAATAAAAATTGAAAGAAATATCTTAATTAGCTTAATTTAAAGATTACAGCTATAATATTTTGGACTAATTGTCTGTTTTCATAGTTAACTTAATTTAAGTGTCTTCTGATATGGTTGTTACATTATCATTCATGTCTGTTTCAATGCTGTTGTTGGAATCTGGATCTTTCAAATTCCAACTACTTGTCTCATCTGGATGGCCAAGGCAGTTACGACATCAGCCTATCACTCTGGGGACTCAGATTGAAATCTAAGAGGGTTGAATAAACCCCAGGAGTTTTTTGGGAGTGACTTACCCCATAAATGTTTGGTCTTGTTCCTCATTACCAGCTGCCTGATTGTGGGCATGGCCAAATCTTCAATGGGCTTGAAGAAAGGCTGCCTTTGCCTTATTAGTGTTCATGTGCAGAAAAAAGTAAAACAAGGAAAAAACTCGTTCTAAGCTATTTTGTTTTATACAGTGCAGTACTGTATTGTGTTTTTCAACTCAAGAGTTTATTTTTGAGAGCACCTACATTCCTGGGGCTTATTTGAATCTTAGGATTTAATCTAGGAAATAAGGTTTTTCTATTCTAATTAGAAAATTTGTAATGATAAATGGAGAGAGAAAATTTAATTTGAAGTTTTAGATTAGAACTGAGTATTACTCAGATGAAGACTTGAGGTTTGAAAATACTAATGAAGAAATAAGTATAATCAGGAAGATGTGGTCAAATTTTTGAAAGTTTATGTACATTTAGTTTTAATCTGATTAGGAGACCAAATGAATCTGGCAAAAAAAACACTTAATCAACAAGCTAATAATTTAATTTTAAGGCTCCATGATATTGTTTGCAATTGACAAGCATTGCTAAAGACATACTTTGTTTGTTTAGAGATGCTGGTCATTTCCTTTCTCTTCAAATTTAGTGATCTCTTGTGCATATTTTTGATATTATACTTAATTAATAATTCACATGAAATTTTAATGTTAAATTTATAAACAATTAGCTGTTACCCATGGCTTTGCTTGCACAGATTTTGCAAGCAAACACTATTTACATTCAATATTTCAACAACCATAGTAATTATTATTTAACACCTACCGCTGAGAATGATGAGAATTGCTGAGAATTAAACGAACTGTTTTTAATTTGATAAATCTTCTGGAACGTTTACAATCATTCTGTAATCGAACCAATAAGCAGAAAGAAATTTGAATTTAAACAGTTCGAACATTTGGTTAAAAAATCGAAATATATGAAAAATATTTATAAAAATGTCTGAAATGTTATCAATTTCAGACATAACATAAGTAACGCAATGAAGACTAAACGTAATTAAAAACAAAAAAATTGTATCTAAAATAGTACAGTAGAAGCCATTTTTCCTGTTAAGCCTTAATGCTCCCCCGCAGGGGAATTTCGGAAAATCCCTTCTTAGTGTGCATTGTCGTGACGTACCCTAACTGTGTACCAAATTTCACCTGTAAGTTCTGGAACTTCCTAGAAAAAACTGGAACATTCGCATTGAAGCATTACACATTTTTGAAGTCAACCACTTTCAAACCCCATATCTCTCACACCCTTATAGCTATTGAGACGCAACCACCATAGCGCATGATGGGAGACTTTGGGCTATTATTAAACACAAACACCATTTATGTGCGATGTGTAATTTTGGCTGCAGAGTGAAATATAGGCACAAACACGTCCATTTATATATATATAAATGGAATAAGAATTTGTTTATAGTTATACTTAACTATAAACAAATTCTTTTGTTATCTCACAAGATTTGCAGAATTATTTTGTATCTTTAAATAAATTATTTTCAGTACACTTAATATAGTAAACTTAGTTTTATTCATTAGCACCAAGAAATTTTATCTAAAGCAATGGGCAGTTGACATTGTGCTCTGGAGGAAACAATTTGTATCACTCTTGCTACGGATATAATTTGTAATCTGGAATTTTTTGCATACCTTTTTAATACGTATTTAATTGCGGCTTGCGAAAAATTTCAAATTTTGAAAAATGGCTCAGACTATCAAGGAGCTTGGCCACCCCGGATATATATGTTATGAACTAGGTGATTAATTAATAGGGCATTATTTATAATGGCTAAAATGGTCACACAGCTTAGAATTATTTATTTATTTTGTGAATTATTTCAAAGTATTTTAAAAATGATATGAGATCTTTTAGTAACTTCAAAGTCACTTTGATTTTTGACTTTTTGACTTTTTGTATTATTGTCAAATACACTGATTTTGTAAACATTTGACTGTTTTGACCTTTGCTGCTATTAATTCATTTATTGATTGTTGAAGTGGTTATTTATATCACTTAATCATTACTTTTTTTCAAAGAAGAAAACACTATTTTAAGAGGCAAAAGTAAAATTAAAATTTTGCACCAGATTAACTACTGGTAGCATGAATTTAAAATTTGATACTAAATGCAATGTGCACATGCAATTCAGACACGAGTGCTGATTGGCTAGTGCAGTGCTTCTTAATCAGTGTTCTGCAAACCTACGTCAAGTGTTCCGCAAAAGAAAAGATTTTAAAGTTTTTATTCAAATTTATTCCCATTAATATAGTGAATAAAATAGAAACATAGAATTATCTTTAAATATAGCAAAGTTTATTTGTTTATTGCTTCATTGTTTCCTGAGAATAGTAAACATGGAATTGCTTATCAATTTTTGAATATATTGATGCTAATACTCCATGTAATAAAAAGTATATGAATGGTGTTTCATGGCCTCAGAAAGGTTGAGAACCACTGGGCTAGTGTATGTTGGATGATCACTCGTAAAGATATTATTATCAATTTGCCCGACCAGGTGATAGTAGTATTCATAGTGATTTGGTCAGTCTGACAAATTACAATAAAAAACCTGAAATTTATTACAGTGCCCAATTTTGTTTGTAAAAATTCATAATGACTAGGCATTATGAATAATGCCCATATTAATCACTTAATTATTGATCAATAAAAATAAAAAAAAATTATTTTTTTAATCACTTAGTCCGTAACATATATACAAAGTTTAACTACTAAGCATNCATTTAGCAGTTACTCGTTTCATATTTTATCATTTCAATATTAATTTTTTTTAAATATTTTTTCACTAGCAGCAAGCACCTGGTACAAATCCTCCACAATATCAACCACCTCCAATTAAACAAGATACTCCACAACCAGCTGTAATGCAACCTATTTCAGAACCTCCTCCAGCATATACGCCAACCGGAGCACAGAATTTTAGTACGGCAGACTTACAGAAAAAACAAGAAGTAACCGATGAATTGAAGATTTTTGTTCTTTCCTTTATTATAAAAATTTTATTAATGTTTGTGTAAATTTTAGGAATTAGAAAGAAAAGCTGCAGAATTGCAAGCTAGAGAAGAAGCACTTAGAAAAGTACCTTACAATGGTAATTTTTTAATATAAAAATAAAAAAAATGAAATTTTAGACAAGTTGCAATCAGAAATTTGGAACAAAGGCACAAACACTTGGTTCCAAAGCCTTGCTGGATCAATATAAATCATTTAATAACAACTCAACGGTATATTATAGACTAATAATTATTTGCCTTTCATTTCTCTAAAGCACTATGGATTGCTGGCAACTTGCATAAAACATGTATTAAATTGAATTGTTGTTTACATTTGATAGCATTAACGTCCACATTATTTTTTAGAAGCAGTATCTAGTGAAACAAATATATGACTGGGCATTAGTAGTAAATATTAAAACTTTAGTGTCCAGCAAAAATTTTTAATTAAACAGATGTTTTCAGCTAATTTTAATAGCCAACATCAAGTTATTTATTTCAATATTGATAGTCTTTGATTTATTCTTGGGTTAGGTTTCATTAGAAGAGGTTGCAAATATAGATAAAATTATAATGCATGGTAATGAGATACATTTTAAGACCAAAAAAATTTTATAAACAAGAAAACTTAATTACTTTTACTTTTTTATGTAAATATACATAAAACTTATGATGATTATTTCAGAAAATAAACTATTCTTTACAGAAAATAAACTAACATTCTTTACATTATAACATTATAATTATTTTTATCGTTATATGCTTGTGAATGCGAACTAATCACTAATTATAATTAGTGATTAGTGGAAAAAAGATATTGCTGAAGTAAACTGCCACTGTAAGCTTTCTGTGATGACCCTGCATGTTCCCATTTTGTAACGAACATTGTCAGTGACTGCCACATCTGGGTTTTTCTGCATTTTTCCTGCAAAATGTTGCGTTAAGGCTGGAGAAGGGTACTGACTCTTCTGAAGATTGTGGAGCTGTGCTCCCAGCCAGGGTCATTGGCACAGGAACTATCTAGAACTTAATGCATTTTAGCAAAATTGTTTTGTAGAAACTGCAGAAAATTGCTGTCTCTGCTTCTGCACTACTACTGGCATCCATTATCGCCAGTTCTTCAAGGTCATCTTTTGAAAGTGATGCAGCATTACGTTCAAGTAACTTAGTGACATCCTGAGTGTCAATGTTTTCAATACTGAAATTGTGTGCCATATTTGTGATTTCTTCTATTACTTCTAAGACTGGTTCTGTGCTAGCACAGTCAGTCTAAAACAGCACTTGGCCACAATTTTTTTTCCAAATACCATTCATACAGGATTGACTCACTTCTTTCTAAAAAAAATCACTTATGGCAGCTGCTACTAGGAAAATGTGATGATGATGAACTTCAAAATGTGATAAATTCTTCCAGCACCCCTTCACTGTCATTGCTGTTATCACTTGTCTCTTTATACCTTTGAAGGTTGTCTACAGTTAGTATGCCTTAAAATCTGGCAATCATACCTTGATCCATTAGTTGAATAATTCATGTTGTTTGATGGCAAATAAATAATTACAACATCTAAATGGCCAATCACGTATCCTGAACCAATTACAGGGTGTAGGTGATGAAGAAACAAAACCAAACATTTTTGAACTCCTTTTGAACTTCATCAGGTTTTTTAACATTCCTTTTTGTTTGTTTTTGTCATAACTTGTTCCAAATATGTGATTAACTATACCCCCGGTGTGGTGATGGTTGTTTATCTAAATGGTTATTAGAGATGTCCTGGAGATTAGGTGGATGACCAGTGACATTATTCATGACTAATAAAACTTTTTAGTCATGTTATTAACCTGTTCTGTGGTCTTCTCGAAATATCTCAGGTCGAAACATAATCACCTTGACTGGTGGACCCAACATATCTCATTTCTGCATTCAGAACTTTTTCTGACACTAGATGTCTCTACTTGTTATAAGTTTTATATTAAAACTAACTTTCGAAATATAATTATTATTGTTTTTACATTTTTTTAATGTCTATTTTGTTTGTGTGAAAAAAAAAAAAATTTTTGGATGATACAATAGCCACAATTGTTTTTTTCTAAAATGTGTAATTTTCGTTAGGCTTAACATCAACAAAAGTCAATGTGAAGCTATCACGTCAGAGAAAAATTTCAATGTGGAATAATTTAATTTCACAAAACTTAAATCCTTGGACCATTGGATTGGTCTAGGACTGGAGTTGGATATACCATTCTGTAAAAATAGTTTGCATAACCCAAATCTTTTTATTGTGATGCAAAAACCTGGAAGAAGTGCTTCCTTTCATTGCTCTTGGTATCTCTGAATGGTACACCAGCAGTGGCTTTTGTTTCAGTTACCCTGATGCATTACCCCAGAAGTAAAGTGAAGTGGTCTTTTGAGGCTTTAAAACAAGACAGCTGTCTTTCTTCAGAGGCAGTGAAGGACCTGGATGGCATCTTTTGCCGGTACAATCCTGTTTTGTTCATACTGAAGACTAAATTAGGAGGAAATTCACCTTCATTTATAATTCTTTGGAATTTGGCCAGATATTTATTAGCTTCTGCAATGTTGGTACTGTACTTGTAACATCCTCAGACACTTTAACATTACCAGTGACAAATGATTTATTTCTACTTGCTTTTTCCTTAATTTCATTAAACAAAGACTTAGCTTTTATTCATTACTAGCAGACCCCGCCACGCATTGTTTTGGCTCAAAATGTATCTATTATAAATGTATAACACTTCCCTGTGGGGGAGAATTTTTCAAAAAATCCCTTAGTGTACATTTTCTTGACATACCCTATTAAAATGTAATCAAAAACGCAAAAAAAAAAAAAACACATCTGAAATAGTATAATAGAAGCCAAGTTCCTTATGGTAAGCCTTAATCCTGTCCTGTCCATCTCCCGGGGGATTTCAACATGTATATTATATAAAAACACGTGCGTATTTGAATGCATTGTTGTGTCAAGATTTCAAAGGAATCGGTAGGAACAAATGAACATTACATTTTTATTTATATAGATAGATAGAAGATGATCTGCTTTAGTTCATTTTTATAGAAAAGCATAATGCCTCATAAAAAAGCAAACTTAGGATGTCGTACTCATAGCGCCATCTGTTGGACATAAAAGCCTTAACCTAGATTATATATTTTAATTTATATGAATGTTTAACAGAATAATATACAGCCTATGTCCATCCTGAGATTCCATTCTAAATATTGGTGAAAGAATTTTTGAAATTGGATGAGTAGTTTCGGAGATTACCTGCTGCAAACAAACTTGCAAACATTACCTCTTTATAATATTAGTATAGATGACTATTTGAGGAACAGGAACTTGTTTTTGGGAAATCATCAGTCTATAAATGTAAAGTTTCTTCATATGTAACTTTTTACTACTTTCAGCTTCAGATTGTAATGCACACATTGGTTTCATAACAATTAATTAATTACATGAAGTGACGAGAAAACAGTTTGTATTCCCTTGTTTTAGATATTTTACTATTGGGTCGTTTGGAAAGTTTGTAGCAATTTTTCATAGCTGACAGTTGAGACACTGAATGAAGGGAAAATTATTAGAATTGTATGAAAAATGACTGTCCATTACAAGACAAATCAGTCTGTTACAAAAGATCATAAGATTATTTAAATAAGATTTTTAAATTAAGATATTTTTTGTAACAGATATTTAATTTGTCTTGTGAAAATGAAGCAAGTTGCATTTTCAACATTTTGTTTTTCTTTTATCAAAAAAGGCAAAAATCTATACTAATATTATAAAGAGGTAAAGTTTGCAAGTTTGGATGTAGGAGGTAATCTCCGAAACTACTCATCTGATTTCAAAAATTCTTTCACCAGTATTTAGAATGGACCTTCAGGTTGGACATAGGCTGTATATTATTCCGTTAAACATTCATATAAATTAAAAGATATCATCTAGGTAGGCATTATATTTTTGGTGTCAGTGGGTGGCAAGGGGCAAGACGTGTACATATACAAGATAGGTAACTGTGTGGCAAAGTCACGTGGTCAGTGAGATACGCAGTGCAAGTGTCTGAACTTCTAGTACTTTACAAACAGCAAAATAAATATGTGATGATTATGGTAAGGTGCTGTAGCAAAGTCATCTGTTGGAAAGTGGTTTGACAAAGATCGGTCTTCATTCAAAGGTCATGCTCACCATCTGGTGGAATTGGAAAGGAATTCTGTACTATGAGCTGCTTACACAGAATCAGTCTATTCTGATAAGTATTCCCAACTGGATCAATTGAATATGGTAGTTGAAGGAATGTCCAGAGTTGGCCAACAGAAAAGGCATTGTGTTTTATCAAGTTAATGTTACACTGTACATTTTTTCATGCCAAAAATTGTTGGAACTAGACTAGAATGTTTTACCCCTCCTCATACTCACCTGACTTTGCCCCATCAGACTATTATCTGTTCTAGGCTATGCAGAATTCTCTTCATGATAAAAACTTTGATAGTTTGGAAGCTTGCAAAAGTTGGTTTTAGCAAGCTTCCAAACTATCAAGGTGGAACATTTTTTTTATGTGGGTAAAACAAGGAAGATCTATAAAGAGGGTATTATGAAGCATTCCCATAGATGGCAACATGTCATTAAAGAATGCATGAGTAATTGAATAAAGGTGTTTTTAGTTTAAAACTGTCTCTTTGTATAGCAATTTTTAAGAAAAATAAACTTTTGAAACGATTTAGTATATTAAACAGTGTCTTTAAATTTTCAGGCTGTAATTGAAATTTATTTAATTCACATACCTTTTCTAGATCACACCATCAAGACATGATATCTTGACAGTGGCAGTCTGCCAGCTATATAGGCAATACTTGTAAAAAAATGCAGTTACAACTGAACAAATTGTAAATAGATACACAAATAATAGAATTACACATTAATTAAAATATAACAACTTAATGTTACACAATAGCAAATAAGTGATAAAAACACAAAAATATAAATACATGATACATCTACATATGTAATTAAATGTCTAGTATTGGTAATGTTGCTGAGGTTAAAGGTAAATGAGCTAAAACTTGTCCAGAATAGAAGGATTACTGCAATTCAGGTGAACACATGCCATATAGAATGCCATCTGTGGCCATTTGACAAATTAGTGATTGCTGTGAGAATTTTAAGTGTCTTCTGATAATTCTGTTCAGATTTAAAAAGGTGAAAAACATTGGTCTTAAACCTACATTAAAAGAATATAATAGAGATATGTTATTTAATGCTACATTTTTGCTTTTGATACATTATTTATTCTTGCTGTTATAAATTTTTATCTTTGTAGTTCCTAAACATGTAATGAATGTTATATGATTGATAGTTATTCAGAAACAATTAATATTTATGGTTTATCAGTTTTTCCATCAAATATAAAAGAAGCAGTTTTATTATCAGTTCAGCAGAATCTGTTGAATCAACTTTCTGGCTTTAAATTTGAAAAAAGAAAAGAAAGGGATTCTATAAATAAAAAATTTATTTAAGAATATACCATTCTGGTATCTTATTTTTTTTTTAATTTGATTATATTAACAGATAAATTTATAAATGCTTTATTTAAACTTAAAATTGTTTGAAAATGTCTTTGTATAGTTCGTGCCAATAATTGGCCACCATTACCAGAAAAATGTTGCGTTGGTCCATGTTTCTATCAAGATATTGGTGTTGACATTCCATTAGAATTTCAAAAAATTGTCAGGAGCATATATTACTTATGGATATGTAAGTAAACATTTTAAGAAATTAATGTAATTGAATGTAATGATTAAATTTTGTTGTTTATTAATAGTTAAAACTAATTTATTTCCTGTTTTTTTTACAGTTTATGTAGGAGTTCTCCTATTGAATGTTTTGGGAACAATGGCAATTTTGTTTGTTGATGGAGATGCTACAACCTTTGGGTTTTCTTTATTGGCAATTTTTCTTTTTACACCTCTGTCTTTTGTATGCTGGTTTCGGCCATTATATAAAGCTTTCAGGTAAAACTTCTTAATAAGGTAGCATAATAATTAAATACATTTTAGACATCTTCATTTATATAAAAAAAATATATATATATATATATATTTAAGCAACACAGAATTCGTGTTTTAATAAATATATTTTTAAAAGTTTGAATATAAGATGAATATAGGATAGAAACTTATCTGAGTTATAGCAATTTACAGTCGACCCCCCCCTATAACACTGTTGATTTTTCCATTTTATATGAATTTCGTGTTGTATGAGTCACTTAGATTTTACAAATACGTGAACTGTTCACAGCACAGCACACTTATAAGTGACTCATACAACATGGAATTCATATAAAATGGAAAAATCAACAGTGTTATAGGGGGGGTCGACTGTAGGGTTTAAACAATTATTATTTTAAAACATTAACTGAGAAAGAAGAAAGCTTAATTGAGAGTGTTTAAATTTACTATTTTTCCAGTTCTTAGTTATATCAGTATTGGATTGTTTATCTGAATTTTGTTTGTGTATAGTTCTTGTTAGGTGTACAGTACCTGTTCTAATAGAAAATACATATTTTAATATGGTTTTATGATTGTATTAGTATATATGATCTACAATACAAATGGTTTCTTTAAAGTAGTTGTGGCAAAAAAAAGCTTCTTTAGTTCAAATCCATTTTTGTTTCAGACTTTAATAGTAGTGTTCAGATAACTATTTAAATTTTAAATAAAATATCTGTAATAATAGCATTTTATATGTTGGAGAGAATTATATTTTCATTAGATGAGAAATGACATAATTCCTTAAGGCTGCAAGTTTTAATGTAGAAATGTTTCCTGCATTGTTATTCTTAATATAGATGGTTTCTGTCAGGAACGAGACTTTTTTTATTTTTTGAATGAAAAATTTTATCTTGTCCCACTTTGGTTCAGCCAAAAAAACCAAAAACAAAAAATACTCCATGCAGAAACCATCTATATTTTGTTTAAATTTTAAATCATCATCTGAAGAAGCTTTTCTTTTCAAAGTGAAATTATTTTAGTTAAAGAATTCCTTTGTATCATGGATAATGTAAAATTCCCTTTTGATTCAACTACTTTCTGCAAGATGAAGTAAGAAAGTTACTTTAGTTGTAATTAGTTGTTATTACACTTAGATTAATTAAAATTTTTTTATTTGTATAATTTTTAATATATTAAAAGATTTTTTCTTTATATGTAAAAAGTTATTTTTCTTGTTTTTTTCCAGGAGTGATAGTTCATTCAACTTCATGGTGTTTTTCTTTGTATTCTTTTTCCAATTTATTCTTGCAGTAATCTATGCTATTGGATTTCCTAAAGTGGGATCATGGTAAATATAACTATTCTTTTTGATTCCTTCTAACATAACCTAGTGACACCTGATTTATAAAAATTTTAAAGGAATTCTTAAATGTATGCCATGTATGTTCACACGTGCATATGTAAATTAATGGAAACAAACTGCTGTCATATAGAAAAAATTATTGNAACTGAAAATCTTAAGCTTACTGTTTTTACAAAAGGCATATTTTATTAAGTTGCAGTTGTTTTTATATATTTTAGTATGAATTAATTTTTTTTATAAACATATCCGTCAGCAGTGGTGATTAATTTACTGAAATACATTTAAGCAGATATTTTAAATTCATTAAATGGCATTAAGTACCCACATCAATTTTAATTTAAATATAGGAAATTCAGTGTTAATAGAGAGGAAGTATAATTTACTTTCTTAATATTTTGTTTATTAATTTGATACTGACTTACAAGAAGTAATAAATTTCTTATAGCTAATATTTAAATTCCTTTGTTGTTTTAAATGTACACTTTTATTGAAAACTTTTTTGGGTTGTTGTTGGACGAATTCCATAAATTACATTTTCAGTTTTAAAATGACTGTTTTTTATATTTAAGTTGTACATAATTTTCAAATATTGAATAATATGTATTGTTATGGTAAATATAACTATTCTTTTTGATTCCTTCTAACATAACCTAGTGACACCTGATTTATAAAAATTTTAAAGGAATTCTTAAATGTATGCCATGTATGTTCACACGTGCATATGTAAATTAATGGAAACAAACTGCTGTCATATAGAAAAAATTATTATTAAATTGAAAACTAATTCATAATGTACTTAAATTATAGTTTGAAAATGGAATTGGATAGAAACTAAATGTTATTGCAATGTTAACTTAATGAAAGTTTTCTTTTTATTAAAAGTACAAAGAAACACAAATTAAAAGTAAACTCTTCGTGTAAGAACAGCTTACAAAAAAACAATTTTAAATTTTCATATGAAACCATGTTCCCATATTCGTTAGTAAACTATTCTTTTGGGTGTTTGACTGTTCTGAGCAGTGCTGTTGTTTCTAGGGTAATTTCAACCTGTTGGGGTAATGTTTAGGGTATATCTGCCCTGTGATCTGATGCTGTCATCATCCCACAAGTTCTGCCAGAAAAAGTTTTAGCCTAAAACTGTTTGTATATTACACCCGAATAGGATTTTGCTTTTCTCAGCCTTCATGCCACTGGCACTCTCCATGTCAGATGTAAATTAATACCTCTGATTTTTAAAAACAATGAATTAGGAATTGTTCTGATTTATTATTTCATGATAATAGTACAGGATCTGCAGATCTGCGTCATAGAATAATTTGTCTTTTTTTTTTTTTTATCTGAGCATGTGCTCAGAGTTTTCTCAATTTAGGGTAATCTAGGGTAAAACGAAGGTGCCATCAGGGTAGTTCCGCCAGAAGCAGCACTGGTTCTGAGTATGCCTATTTATTTGTTATTTGTTTGTGCTTTTATTAAAAGAAAATTTCTTTAAAAATTAACATTGTCAGAAGTGTTCAGATTCTTCTGTGATGATGTCAAATAGGAATAAAAATGATGGTATTATCAACATAATAAAGATTTGTGAAAGATATACAAATTCTGTTTTCTCTTGTTTTTTTTTTTTTTAATTCAAAATTCAATGACACTGTAATCATGTAAGATAATGTATAAAATGAAAAATAAAATAACTGAAAGTTCCACTAAATTTCATTTATACTTATTCATTTTTTCCCATGAAATTAACATGTAATTCTGGTATCCATTATGTTTTGATAATCTGGCCTGATTCACAAAGGATTTTAATTCAAAATTTGAGTTCTGATTTGAACAGTGGATTCACCTAAAATGTTTTGTTTTATTTTTATTTTATTATTAAAGTCATACAGAATATTTTTCAACTAAACATAATTTTTATTAATTAAAAAATACATATGACAGTATAAAGTTTTGTTTTCATTAATTTGCATATTGTTATAATTACATATATTTATATTTTGAAATAGCTTATTTGGACAGAAAAATTTTCTTTATCATTTATTTGATTATTTTTATAAATTGCACAAATATATTGAAATTATAATGTTCATAGTATATATAATTTAGCACATTTGTATCATGTTTTTATGATCTTTTTATCAGTATTTTTGAAAAAATATAATTATGAAGTGTTCCATATTTTAAATTAGATTTCTTTTGTTATACTATTGATATTTACATTAAAACTTTGTACACACTTTATTTACATTAAAACTTTTACACACAAATATTGTAAATAATATATAAACTTAATATGGTTCACAAATATTTTTCTGTAATTTACAACAATTGTGTGGGAAGTTATGAGAAGTAACAAAATACTGGAATGGATTACCAAGGCAGCTAGAGGTGAAGCCCCTATTATTATTATAAATTTCATTCAGAAGCAGGACATTAAAAAAATTATTAAAACTCTTATAAAATATTTTTATATTGCATTATAATTTAACTAAATACATAATGCAAAAATATTCTTTTATATTTGTTATATTTATATAATATATTCTACATAACTGAAAATCTTAAGCTTACTGTTTTTACAAAAGGCATATTTTATTAAGTTGCAGTTGTTTTTATATATTTTAGTATGAATTAATTTTTTTTATAAACATATCCGTCAGCAGTGGTGATTAATTTACTGAAATACATTTAAGCAGATATTTTAAATTCATTAAATGGCATTAAGTACCCACATCAATTTTAATTTAAATATAGGAAATTCAGTGTTAATAGAGAGGAAGTATAATTTACTTTCTTAATATTTTGTTTATTAATTTGATACTGACTTACAAGAAGTAATAAATTTCTTATAGCTAATATTTAAATTCCTTTGTTGTTTTAAATGTACACTTTTATTGAAAACTTTTTTGGGTTGTTGTTGGACGAATTCCATAAATTACATTTTCAGTTTTAAAATGACTGTTTTTTATATTTAAGTTGTACATAATTTTCAAATATTGAATAATATGTATTGTTACTGTCCTGATGTTGCCATACTTTATATATTTGATTCATAAAATTTATAATGTAATATGAAGATGCAGTTGAAATAATACATAAATATTTTATAAAAATGAGCCATATTAAGTTTATAAATAGAATTAATACTCAATTTAGCAATTGTATTTGGCCCTACACTAAAAGTCACCATGTACTGTACTTGATAACTATGACAACACTTTTAAGACTAAGAAAATTTTTAAAGTATTATATATATAAAATATTTTTATATACATCAGAAAAGATCTGACATGAATATTCTGATGACATGATAAACAGTACTTGCTAAGTTAGAGATTTTAAATTATATTCATTTCAAATTTAATCTAGAGTAGTATTTAAATCACATGCCAGGCTAATATTGAATCTATCTTAATAAAAATAGTAATATAATATTTGTTGTTTGTTAATTCAACTAGATTGAGAACAGTATTGTAAACTAAATTATATGAATATATAAATTACAAATTAATGTGTGACAGTTTGTAAATAATTGCTAAAATTTTTTTATTAAATAGAAACTTTGTATGAATACAATAATGTTCTTCATAAATACAGTAATTTTAAATATGAAGATTAGAAATTCTCAAAACCACGTTGCTCGTGTATTATATGCAGTGATAATTAAATGCCAAAATCTGTTAGTGCAGAATATATTGTGTAATAATATAAGTGATTTATTAAAGAAGTCAATATAAACAATTAAATTTAAATTATAAAAATAATTTTTTTAGTATAAATAATAAGTTTAAATATAATCTGATATTCTTTTTAAAGGAATTACATTTTAGTTGATATTGAATTGTTGAGCAAAATTTTTTATAATTAGTTTTCATCAATAATGTGACTATTAGTATTTAATACCACTGATGTAAAAAGCTAATAATGCCTCTAATTACATTTTTGGACTGACTTTGATAGATTAATTTAGCTGGACATTTCTTTTACTTATCTAAATTATAATCATCATAATAAATTTATCTGGAATGATAAATATCCTATTACTTTTATTGAAAAGCGTAATTTTAATTAAAACTTGTCATAGGTAATTATTTATGATAAATAAATACTAATTTGAAATAAAGATCAAATACTGGAAAATTAAAGATGTATTAATCCATGTCTTAGATGGAATATATATGAGTAAATTTCTTAATCTGATAGTTCATTGTAAATACACTACTATACTGTTACACTGTTTCTAGAATTTAATTGTACAGTGTAATAGTGATTGCATTTTCTAATATTCTATGGAGAATCATTATCCTTCTGATGAAATAGCATTAAAAGAGGAATAAAATAATGGAAGAAAGTACAATTGCTAATATCTATATTCAGAGACTCATCGTCCAAGAAGGTCAAGTCCATTGAATCACTAATTAGATTGATGACTGTAACATAAATTTGAGTAAATATAAATTTTAAATTATAATAAATGTTTTGTAAAATTTTCAACTAGTCCTTGTCAACTTAATAACTTAAGTAGGTTCTAGTTATGCAACATTTTTTTAAAATACTGATTTGAACAAAGCAAGAAACATTATGACTATATTTTAATGTTTAAATATTATTTATATATTTATTATTTGTTGAAAATAATAACTTACCATTTCATCTGTTTCAGTAGAAGTTTTGCTATTTCTGCAAATAATAAAATAATGTTGAATGATTGTAAAATTACTTTTTCCAGTGGTATATTCAATTCCATTGCAGCAATGAGACAACCTCCGGTTACCACAAGCTCTTATTTTGTGGGAGGTCTAGGTTTGATCATTGGTTTCTTATGGGCGGCCGTCGCACTGATATCGGGCATCATGATAATCAAGGTGGACAGACGTTGGAATTAATTATTTAGACGTAAAATGAAATATATCTGTGTGTGTTTTATAAATAAAATGAAAAAACAAACTAATTGTACAATTTAGGGTGCAAAAGGTGTCATTCTTCTAAATCCCACCAAATCACTGGTTTAATGTTTTGCATGTTCTGTCTTTCTGTACTGTTATCAATTTTTATTTTTTCTCTGTTAGTGGTTACATCATATCTATCGAGTTACTAAAAACGAATGCTGCGGTGGCCACATTATCTTTTATAATCTCTGGTCTCCATACCATATTTGCAGTCATATCCTTATTGATGCTTCTAAAGGTACTAACCTGCACGATTTCTTATATTCTGTTTAGTTTATTTTTTTTATAGTTTTTCTTTATATATATATATTTATTATTTATTTATAATTATTTTTAGTAATTTTTTTAAAAATATTAGTGCACAAGATTTTTGTAATTAAAATGTGTGTGTATGCGTGTTTCCCTTAAAAAATAATAGTTATGAGTTATTAATTGAATGTTAATATATTAACTTTTTATGAATGAAATTCAAACTTAAAATTTGTTAATTCATTTTATTTTAGAAAAATGCAAGATATATTCTTGTTTTATCAGTTCTAAAATAGCCAAAACTTTCTAATAATATTTAGTTGAATTTTTAATTCTCAGGGTATTAAGATTTAAGGAAATATTCTGTAAAATCTGGTGCATAAACAAAATGGAAGGACTGGAACTTTAAAGTTTACACATGCGTTTCGAAGACAGATTTATTCTCTGTTCCTCTTCAGCTAATTTAAAACATGTAAAATTGACCTTTGCTCTCCATTAAAGTGGGATTAACTATTTACATTATTTGGAGATTAACCTTGTTTAAAGTTGTTGTAATATTTATTATTTTATTCAATTCTAAATCATAGAGTACCTTCTGATCATTTAAAGCACAGTTCAAATTCAAATGTATAGATAACTGACAGCTATGAGAAGTATGTAAAGAGTTAACTATGAGTCTTCAATTACAAACAAAAATTTTGGCTAATTTAGTTCTGATTCAAAAAATTTTAATAGATTATTGAATTATTTTTATTTATTATTGAATTTTATTTGCATTAAATATATGTAATTTATAAAGTAAATTAAAAAAAAAGAATAATTGAAGAAATTTAGAGAGATAATTTGCATGAAAATACTGTAATTCTGATACAGTGGACTTTCAATTATTGTGGATTAACCAAACTACTAAAGATTAAATTAACCCAAAATATATGTTAAAAATATAATGAAATAATAGTGTTTTAAAGAGACATTTGTTGATAGTTGTTTGCTAACAGGTCATTCTTGGAACAAGTTGTAAGCATTCTTTTATTTGTGGCTGAATGGTTAGGACAGCAGCCATTCCAGGAATGCCGGGATCGAAATTGGAAGGGTCAAAAAATCCTGGTTTTTGAATGTGGTCTGTCATGATAGGTCTGTCATGGACTCACCACTATGCTGCCCTATTGTGGGCATAGCCAAACTCAGTGAGCTAGTTAAAAAAAACCTCTTAGTGCCCACAGGACAAAAAGAATTTTTTAAAAAAGACAATTTTTATTTAAAAAAGTTTACTTGATCGATTAAATTCGGAATTAATTTTTCTTTAATTGTTCTTTATTTTTTATTTGAGAGTCCTCTGTATAAACATTTTATTTATATTACACTTAGCAATGCTGTGTGTGTTTGTTTAGAAATTTTATCTTAACATTTTCTGTTTTTAATTTTAAGTAATTTAGACTAATTTTAAAAGGAATTTTGTACAAATATTAAATTTCTAAGCACGGAGATTTTCAAAATAACCTATTAAAAATTTTATAGCTTTTCCAATGAATTATAGATTATTCCAAAAAAAACTACTTTATGGACTACAAACAGAATGTGTGCAGATTTTTCAAGAAATAGTTTTTCTTATATTAATAAACAAAGCTACAATAAATTACAAGAATTGTTAATGAAAATTTACTTTCACTTTACAGAAAGAAAGAAAAAAGGTTTTAATATTGTTTGGAGAAAATATGTTCTATTAAATATTCACTTTTAATGTCTCAAACATCTAAGAAATGCCATAACGTTTTACTAGTTGCCCAGTCATATAGGAATCAAATGAATTGACAAACTTGCAAAACAAGTAAATGGGAACGAGAATATTCAGATCATACTATAGAGATCTGTAAAGCTGTATAAACAAGTACTGTACATGGAAAGAGGAATGGTACAAACAGCTTAATAAAAACTACACATTATAAAACCAGATTTAATAAAATGGACAACTAGCTAACAGGAAAACCGGGAAAAAATTTTTACTTGTTTGCTTAATGACTGGTCAAAAACGTTGAAACGAAATTGCACTTCACTTGCGCTTAAATTTGAAAATTTGCGGCTATAGAAAATTACTAAAGGATAAAACTGTTTAATGCAAATATGCCGCAAATGACCGTTAGATACAGGGTTCTTACGCACCTGGAAAGTCGGGGATTTTCGTTTGTGTTCAGAAAAAGTCGTGGAATGTCAGGGAATTTTTTAAAAATTGTCAAAAAGTTATGGAATTTGCTTCCTTGGCTGCTTTGTTGATTTTTTGCTGACAATATGCTTGACTAAGCGTAGTCATCTGCTGGCAGCAAGAAGTGTAATGCAATACAACTTACGTAAAGGTGTGCAGAATAGTAAGTCAAATGCTGTTTTATTTTGTCAATGTGCCGTAATGTAAGAAACACGAGGGTCGGGGAATTTTTACAAAGTTGGTCAGGGGAAGTCATGGAAATTAAAACAAAAATTTGAGTTGGAATCCTGTAAATATAACTGTAATTAAATTCATAATATACTATGAAGGTCGGAAATTAATTTAATGATTTAGAAATATTATAGTGCATTGCTGGTACCTCGGAAGTAATACACGGTCACCTCCAATGCACTATAATATTTAAATTACTGAAGAGTGAATGGTACAGAAAATGCTTATCCAGCCACATTTTCTAGTGTATATTAATTGCTGTACGTGGGTAGAATATATCTTAACATTGAAATAAACATTATTAATGATTAGATATGAAGTTTTGTTTCCCAATACTTCCCAGTTTTGTAACATTTAACAGTGGAATATTTCATTGTTGATTACTATGTGTTTATTTTCAATTTCTTTCTCGGTCGATTGGAACCGAATAAATTGAGACAATTTTTGATCTAGATATTTTGATTCATTTCTGAGTTCGTCAATTTGGAAACAAGAAATTTGGTTTTGTTAACTAATTAAAAAATGCCGGAAAAGTTGGGCAACTCGTTGCCTATTTATTTTGACCTGTAAGCCATTTCAGAAGGCGTAACCTCATATATAACAGATTAGGTATGCTTTTTTCACATTCGTCAGGTGTTGGGAAACTTTCTAATTCGTAAAGTGAAAGTAAAAACTACTAAATTCTTTTCTTTAAGATAAATTTTAGAACGAACTGTTAATTTAAATATTGAAAGAGGAAGTTTCTATAGAAAATTTAAAAAGACGCTAACAAAACCGAATGTCACCACCAACCGCCACACATTCTATCAATAATTGTATCTTTCTTAGCCGGCATTCCTCTTTTTAAAATTTTTGTAATTATTTCCTCCTAATTCTTAATTAATTTTAGCCTTAAACTCGACTCCAAAATTTTTTAATGCTAACGGGTGTTTTGCCTGTGGTACAGGTGCATCGCCTGTATCGTAGTACGGGCGCCAGTTTCGCCAAGGCCCAACAAGAGTTCACTTCCGGCGTGTTACGTAATGAGCACGTGCAACAGGCGGCAGCAACGGCAGTGAGCGGAGCGACCCAACAGGCCATGAATCAAGCAGTTTCTGGTAATCGCTACTAAAAGAAGAAAAATGGCGCACGTTTTATTCTCCGTAAGTGCCTCGGGGAAATAATAATAATTATTATTTGTTGAGAAAGTTGACGAAATTTTGCATTTGACATTTCTTTTTCAGGAGGAGGAAATGGCGAGGGAGTAACCACCGTCGATAGAAGATAGGAATTGTTTTGCTATCGAGGAAAATTCGATCCGGAAACTAGAAAAAAATCGTAATCTTTATTGTAAAACTTCAATTGTAAATCCAGAAATTTGGAAGAACTTTGCTATAATTCTGTCCATTTTTTTCCTATGGTTAAATGTATCATGCTTTGTGCGTGACATAAAAAAACATACTACTGTCCAAAATATTCGTGAAATTTGACAGAATTTTCTTTACAAATATAGTATATATACAAACATACATGCATACATATATATACCAATATATATATTATATAGAATCCGATCGCATATGTATTCACAATTGATGTTCTGTTTTAAAGTAGCTGCACACGAACACACTAAACACACGCATATTAATTAGTTTAAAAACATTCACCGGATACTTGCGATTTATTTTTTTAAACTCTATATTTTAGACTACTATTTAATTTTTTTAATGTGTTCTATCTAAAGCATTCATTCCAAAACACTATTTTTTTTCTTGCATTCTGCAGGCGAAACTATCTTAATTTGCAACGTTCCGAGAGTTGCAAAAAATATTTGTATCGCGTTTCGACAGACATTTTTATGGATCGAGTCGAATTCGAGAAAGGATTTTTACATTTCGTGTAACTCGAAGACATTCGTCAAAAAAACGTAAATACAAGAGTTTAATTCGTACAACGATGGAAAATTGGAAAACACTTACGAAATTCTATATATATATATCCACAGTGCTTTCTCGTTTAACATTATTATTATTGTTATTATTATTATTATTAAAGGTCGACTTAACGAGTTAATTCGATTTACAAATGTCGTTTTCTGTCGTCAGGAAATAGGAAAACTAATAAAAAAAAATTTTTGGTTTGGTTTCTAATTATTTTTCATTGTGCATGAGAAATTCTTGCTATGTCGATTATCAATCTGTTGTACAGTGTTATTGTAGTGCTAATAAATATTTAACATTAATTATTTCTGCATTTATTTTTGTGATTTATTTGAAAAGCACGCGCTCTTACAATTTACATGCGTACCATAATGGTAAAAAGTTTAAACAGATTGTTACTTTAGAAATTGGGTATCTAGACTAATACGCGCACAAACCAAACCATAGATATATAGAAAATTCAGGTAATACATTTAATCGACGTAACACTAAAAATGGTAATCAAAACGATAACGTTACGTCTATGAATTTCTAATTAGAGAGGTTGCCGAAGTTTTAAACGAGAGAACGTGGACGTTCAGCGTCGCTTTCCTGTAAGCCTAGAAGTTTGACAATGGTGTTTACTCAGTGGTATCATGCTCGACGTTCCAAACACCATTGTCAAACTTCTAGGCTTACAGGAAAGCGACGCTGAACGTCCGACGTACACGTTCTCGCGTTTAAAACTTCGGCCTCAACCTCGCTATTGTTTAACTGAGTTTGCGTGTGGATAATTTGTAAAAGTATGGGAAATTTATAAAATATTTATGGGATATTTATAATTTAATATAATATAATAAATTTATTTATTATATTTAGCATAATTCGTTAAGCTAAACAGATTTATTTAAAATAAATTATCGTAATACATTTATTCGTTTTTAGTTTGAAAGTTGTATTGATGATTACACTTATTCCGCTTACAGTGAAAAACGTTTAAACAATACGCCAGGTTTTCAATAAGCCTAGTGGGTCACGTGTCGCGAACTCGTTCAGTTAATAATCGCGACGAGTTATACCACGTGATATTCTCGACACCCAGGTTTATTTTTTAATTATCGCCAGCAGAGGACGTTTGATGAAATTTTTGCATATCGAAGCATAAATAATACCTATTTTAATGTCCAATATAAAACTTGGAAGCCAATGGCTCTAGATTCCCGTAACTTATCGCGAGTGGTGTGTCGGATATGCCCGCGTCCTCCTCGCAACTTCCGGTCGGTTTTGACAGACGGACCTTTGTCGAGTCGACGTCACGAGCATGCGCAATTGTCCGGCGCCATCTTTGTACTTTGTTTACGCGCGCTTTAGCTGGAGTTCTTGAGTTGTTTATTCGTCGCGAATATCACTATGGTGAATTGTGTAATTGGGTGTAATGCTGGTTCACTCAAGAACAAAAAAAAAACATCATTTTTTAAAATTCCTGAAATTTCATCAACGATCCCAAATTGAGGAGCTTTCAACACGAAGGCAATTTGTATGGCTCTCGAAAATTAATCAGAAAAGTTTCAATACCGATAAAGTGAATGTCAATACAAGAATTTTGTCAGAAACATTTCGTTTCAGGTAAGCAATAACATTTGATTACTAATTATCGATAAATGATTAGATAAACTTTTGCACGAGTATCATAAAGTGTGTACAAGCAGGTTGCATAAATAAATCAATCCCTTTTGTTAATACCGATAAAATAAAGTTAAATAATTTTAACAACCGCAGATTTTAGTTTGAAAAGATACTTGTAATGATTGTGTTTTACCTTTATCTTTCAGTTTGTTTTCTTAGTGTCTGCTTTTAATATTAAAGTGTTAAGCAAAGATGATTGCGTAGCGGATAACGAATTTTGAACTAATTGTCCTTCCAGTCTAATTTACATAAAAGTGTGTGTATTTTTAAAGATATAAACCAATAATATTTATTTTTCATTTACAAATAGCTACGTTGGGTTATTTTGGTGAACGACACTAACATTTCTTTAATTAAGATGTTACTTTTTGCAATGATTTTTTTTACATTAGTAACAAATAATCATTACGTAATAACCTTCAAGTTGTTCTTGACAAATTATTGATTATGTACTTATAATAATTATGTTATGTTATATTGTATATAAGTTCTTTTTAATCTTATAATCGCGATAATAATAAGCAAAGAGCCCAAACGGTTAGGAGTTGAATGTCGAAATTTGGTACGTCATGAGAATGCACACTAAGAAGGGATTTTGAAAATCCCACCTGCGGGGGAGAGGGGAGTTAATCTACTTAAATTTTCCGACGTTTTGGCAGAAAATATGGGATGATAAAACAAAAAATCTAGCAACCAGTTCTGTAACTTTCTAGGCTGTTATGAGCGTTTATTTTAAAAATCGCTTTAATTGTAATAAATAAAATTATATGTGGCGCCATCTGTTATGAGATTTTGTTATAAACATTTTGTATATTTAATTATTATAAAATTGCAAAGAACTTAATTTTGAAGATAGAGATGAGTTTTATAAAGTTCTGTGAATGCTAACAAGTAAAATCATTGTCATCTCTCACGAGATGTCACGTGACCACTCCTGTCTCCCCTTCCCTGTCGAGTTTTCATTACCAAAAGTTAATAGCATCAATGCCCCTTATACACAGGCTAACGTGACAAATGTCGTTACTTAATTAATCTTCACTGCATCCTGAGATATTGAACGAAATAGACGCCAACACTCCCTTCACACATACATATCCACGGAATTTTTTGAGTTTTTGGGGTTCAGAGGGTCTCAAAATGTGGAGATTTGTAAGGAATAAAAAAACTCGGAGGGTTAAATTTGACCCTCCGAGTTTTTGGAATTGGCGTTTTGGGACCCTCTGAACCCCCAAAAAACTGATACCTTTTGTGTTTCACGTAATATTTCAAGATGGGGTTAAAATAAAGAAACGAAATTTTTTATGGTAATTTGTATATAAGGGATATTGATGCTATCTATAGTTTAGTGGTTAAGGATGGAGGGGTGTCACGTGTTATATCTCGAGTGGGGTGGTACTGGACGATTTTATTCATTAGTAATTATAACTTAGGAAAAAACTCTACCCTCAAAATTACCTTTTTTGCCTTTTTATAATGGGCTGCAATTTGAAAAAATTGTGAGCCTATGAATTCCAACTGTCGTCTGTTGGCTGTCTGTTTCCTCCCTTAATCTCGTGATTGGTGTTAGATAGATGAAAATCGAGATCCGATGTGGAAAGCTTAAGGACAAAGACCCAATTAACAATATACAAACTTCCGGTCTAGACCGAAAGTCACGTGATTTCAATTCAAATTTTCTCCAGAACGGAGTTACATAGATGACCGGCATGACTATTGTTGTCGGAAAAAGTATGATGTATGGGAGCGAGACACTATTAATGTGAGATGGAGAGCATATATTTTAAATTAAATAAATTAAAAATGTGTTTTCAAATTTCAGCCCGACTTTTGCTGGTTATTAATAATAGACGTTATTAAAAAATAACTTATTCAGATGACGCTAACGTTGCTGGATTTTTTTAGCTAAAGCGACGGAATTATATTCGAGTTGCAGTACATCGGCTCCATTCTTATTCTGGGAATTACCCTAGACTAAAATTCGGTATTATTTATAAATGACACACACAATTGTATAACAGTAAGAATAAACATTAAGTAAAACTAAATATAAAAATTTATTCAGATTCAATAACAATTACATTAAAGATAATTGAGACGATCGTCTTTCGGACTTTTCAAATACGTCAATCTGAAGAAATTTCGATTAATTTCATCAAACGAAATTCTACCAACTCTGAAATTTGCTACTTGAATTTTATTCTAATTCCATAGATTCTCGGATAAATTACAAGAATTAACACATATTTGTATATAAAATAAGATTATGGGTGCACGGATGTGAATCTCAGCAGTATACTGTATAATACTGATTATCGTATCTACAATATAATGTACATTCTGTGAATAAAATACTAAAACAATTTTTTTTTAATTTTTTTCAAATTTCATGAGCAACGTCGATTAAGGCAGGGTGAGGTACCGTTGGTGAGTAATTTCAAACTAATCTTTCTTCGATTCTGTAAATGAAAAAAATGCACGAGTTAGAATACTGTTAAATTCATTTTCAAAATGTAAGTATTACTGTACTGTATATTGTGTTGATATTTACAGTACAGAAAGATAATTGTGACGCAATAAAGTATGTTTCATGATCTCAACTTAACCTACCGCAACTGAGTCTAAGTGTAGTCCATTTTGTTCTATCACGGTAAACTAATTTTGGTGGTGGAATGAGACTAGTAGGGGAACCAATTGCTGCAAATTCCGCTTCGATCATGGCGTCCATATTTAGCGTTCCGTCTTCTGCGGAATTATCAATCCAGGATATTTAGTTGCGGCTTAGTTTGAACGAATTTCTAGCGAACTCGTAACTTACCATTAAGCATGAGAGCCGGTTTTTCGGGGTCCAGGCTAGTTGTCACAGTGCAAATATCGTCTATATGATCAAAACTGGACGGTTACGTCATCTAGGATTAGGTTCCTTTATCGCTCGCCTACATTACAAAATTCGAATAATATCCGTTGCATTGTGTTCCGTTAGTTGGCGTGTAGGAGATTTACACCGAGTCGCGTAAATTTTGATGTGCCATGTCTTGTGCCATTTGAAAACTTAGTTGTTACTTACCATTAATTAACTACTAGCATTTCCTATTAGGTGGGTCCTTAAGGACCCACCTAATAGGAAATGTATATATGCCTATATAGGACCTAATGTATATATACATTATGAGCAATCGAATTTTCTATTTAGAAATTAGGAACTGTGAACCAATTTGCAAAAGAAGTACATTTATGGCAAATTGTCACAATGATTGACTCATCAGAAGAGGAAGAAAAGATCCTCTGTTTGGTTTGTGGTGAGAGTTTGGTCTCACGAGCTATGTACAGATGTAAATCCATATTATGTTCGTCACAACTGTGACTGAAAACGATATGTAAAGATTCGAGTTATTGCCTTTCGCAGAATAAATAATAGTAAATTGGTAGTCTATTTTCATTATAAAATTGGCACAAGTAAATATCATATTAAACATAATTTAACATAGCCAAAATAAACTCAGGAAATGCGAGAACTTAGGCTTCCTACACCATGTTGTTACAGGGTGACAGTTTCTAAGATAATTAATAACTATGACAAAAAATTATGAAATGATTATATATTTATTATAAACCAATCAAAACATATGTAGGTTCATGCATTTTCACTTAAATAAACTGATATTATAGACCCTAAAACTAGAAATGACTAAAAACTGTGACAATTAGCCCCGGTCTCCCTTACAATCAATTTCTTTCGACATACGGTTTGATTAGAAGCGAATTTACACTAGTCCATCGGCTGTAACTTCGTGCATGAAACGAATTGAAACGGCCACTTCATCACTGTACGCTACAAAATGTATCCCTCTGCGTTACCTGTTTCATTAGAGAAGCAATGGCAGTGTCCTAATAAAAAATGCGAACATCCGTTAATTATTATAAATTTAGTTCAGAAACGATTGTTAGGAAAGATTGACGATTTTGCGAACTATTTCTTGCTGAAGCATGCACGTAGTTACAGCAAACGAACTGCAGATGATGTTCAAAAATGCATCTATTTATTTCTATGTAAATAATAGAAACAACTCTGAATTTATTTCGAAATTAACTATGTACTGTACATGTAACGCGACGAATTATATTTTATGAAATTCTAATCAGGAGTTGTGTTGTCCTACTAAGGTAAGGTGGCAGCCTGCCGCAGTAAGGATTCGGAATCGAATCCATACGGGTCGAAAAACCCCAGGCATTTTTCGGCTGGTGGTCCGTCCGGATATGATGGTCCCTGTTATCTCGTCACTTGGATGTTGCATTGAGGATTGCCGGTTACCCGGGAGGGAAGAGTGGACCCAGATACATTCCCACTCCACCTTCAGATTTACCACTCCATTTATCATTCTGTGGTCATAGGGAATCCAGAATCTGATCCGATCCGCATCCTCATAATTCATTACGGTAACAATTGTGTATTTGTGTAATAAAACCGAAATTACGTGGATAATAAGAGTGTGAAATGCTAGTAATTTAAAGATTAAAATCAACGACGTTTAAATAGTGGAAAAGTGACGGTTACCCACCTGTACTTTTCTTTCCTTTACAGCTACGTTCATGTATCATCAAACGATCGGGATAGAAGGTTCTGCCACAACGTGGACACGGAACCAATTGCTGCAAATGACTCTGCCATGCCGCTTCGATCATGGCGTCCATATTCAGTGTTCCGTCTTCTGCGGAATTATCAACAGGATATTTAGTTGCGGCTTAGTTTGAACGAATTTCTAGCGAACTCGTGACTTACCATTAAGCATGAGAGCCGGTTTTTCGGGTTCCGGTCGCTTCATGTGAGGCGGCAATTTCTCGTTTTCTATCCTCCATTTCTTCAAACACTGTGGCTCGTGTATGGAAATGGATTTCGAACCAAATAGTCGACCGCAAATGTAGCACGTGGCCAAAGGTATCTTGCTGACCTCCTTAGAGCTGTCCTGCTATGGAAACAAAATGAAATTAAACGAAAATACTTTCGTAACGAGGAACGAGTAACGCTCTTACCACTAACTGAATATCCGATTGAGTTATGGGCGATTGCGGTGGCAACTGCGAGTGGTTCGAGTGGGCTTTGTTCACGTTGTTGTTATTGTTCTTGTTTCCTGTTTCTTTACAAACTCTCTGGTGAACTAACAGCCGTTCCGGAAAGAATGTTCGTCCGCAATTTGGGCAGGGAACCAAATTGGCTTGGAAACTTTGCCAGGACGCTTCATTAAACTCGTCTTTTGTCATGGTTACGTTGGTTTCTGGCTTCTGTGGTAAAGGTCTTCGCTGATTGGGAGAAAGAAGTTCGTTTTCGCGCTTCCAGCGCTGAAAATAAATGTTTCGATTTTAAAAGGTGGTGTCATTTTCATCGATTTGATAACTTTATTCTGAAAATAATACTATTTACAAAAATGTTAGCATAACATTTCTTTTGAAGTACATTGTCTACTTCTAATCGTTTCATCTACCGAATGTAAATAAAGAAAACTCGAATTTAAAAATTTACTTAACAAGGCGGATTCGAGAATGTAAAAATGGACTAAATTTATTTAACAAATGAATCTTAATTAGAGAATTTGTAGGAAGTGATGGGTGTCATTTGAGATTTCGGTTTATTGTAGCAATTTTTAGCATAAAAATCGCTTTACCAAAATAGATTTTGTCATTGGTTATCTCTTCCTTTAATAATCGCAGTCATTTGCATTACATCGGTAATGGGGTGATTCGTGCTGAAGTTAAGATAATTATAATAGAGTGAAAGTATGGCCATCGGTCAGAAATGACACCCCAAGATTTTTACATTTTTGGATTCGAGTGTTCTCAAAACGTCGAGAAAGGTAAAAAAAAATCTGGGAATTTTTTCTGTTTGTATGGATGTTAGTGTATGTGGGGGCAAGTTTTTGTTCATCCACTTTGAAGCACATTAAGTTACAACTCTTGTCCCTTTTGTCGAAAATTTCTGAAATTTTTCAGGGAGGTTTTCACATTAAGGAGATTAAGGCTATTAAACCTTAGTGGTTAAAGGTCGAGGAATGGGGAATTAGAGGGAGGATCATGTGTCGTATCTCAAGTGAGGACGTACTTAATGAAGATTTTACTCGTTAGCATTTAGTTTTTTGTATAAGTCGTCAGTACTTCAAAATTAAATCCTTTTACCCTTTTACAATAATTAAAAATATAAAACACTTTAAATAAAATCTCGTAACAGATAGCGTCGTACACAATTTTTAATTCTTGCTGGGAAAGTTACGCAACTCATTGCTGAAATTTTTATCAATAGAAAGCAATTCTTTCCAGCTTACGGATTCGAATCCTTTTCAGCTGAAGGATTCCAATAAATCTCATCCTGACTTTCGGCCTGTATTTGCTTTCCTGAAAATATAATTAAATTTCTATAATTTCGAGTTTTAAAGTTTTGCGTATCTGAACATAATTATATAAACACTTGTACAGTACTCATAATTATATATGGGTAAAAATTATTTTAGAGGGACGAATTTTATACTTCGGCTGCAAGTTTTTGGTTTTGTATGTAGGCTAATCAGACACATTTAAAAAGCAGTAGTGTAATATTTTTTACTTAAAAAGAGTGCTTTGTTATTATTTTAAAAGACTTTTGAAAGAAAGTTTAAAACGATAACTTGTAAATCATTGAAATCACAAAAGGGAACTGAAACAAATAATTTTTTTGTTTCCTTTCTGAATTATTCATATTAAAATGTAACTGCAATAATGCACATTTTTATTCTTATAACTATTGTACATCAGTACTAAAAAAGTATTGTTCTTATGATTAAAATCACTAAGATATAAAAACAGAAGCTTAAAAGTGATAACGTATAAATCTTTTGTAACTTATTTGTAATTTTTAACCCAAAATGGCTGCGGCAGTCAGTATTATCCGAGTTTTCGATTTTCCGAGATACCATTGATCCACATTAACTCGAATAATCGGGATTCTACTGTACATATATATGTACAGTACAATTATATATTACAGATCGTTATACACATCTTAGATAAATCTTGTAATCTATTATTACATCATATATCTTATTCCAAATTATTTTTTAAGACTTCTTGATATTTACTTTTAGTAATGAACGGTAGAATATACATTTAATTGAATTTTATCAGAAGCTATTTAAAGAACTTGGTATGAAGTACAATACATTTCTCTACATAACAGTAGTCTTTATCTCTTGTAAAACGAATACTTCTATCTCAACTTCTAAAGTCATTCTATAGCATTAATATATAGTAAAAGCAATTAAAATCTTCCAATTATATTGAAAGTTGTTTATTAATTCTCGTTATTTTATTATTATATTGTTTTAAACTTTTATTTATTGTTGTTTGTGTTTGGGTTATTATGTTGGTTTGGAGGTGAAAATCTTTGTCCTTGGACATTTTCTGTTTGTAATATAATAAAATATTTTTATTGCACATTATTATTAATATAAAAAATTATATCATAAAAGAAAACATAAGAGGATAATATTCCATAAAATCAGAATGGAAAATCTGGAACTTCAACTTAACATGACAGTAAGTTAAAAAAAGTTTTGGACTTTCCATTTAGTTTATGTTCATACTTTACAAAGAATTCTAAACATCACAAATTATGTAATGATAATTAAATTAATAAAATTAATATCTGGCGAAGTTCTATAGTGTTATATTTAACAGTATATTGAAGAAATATGGCAAAGGAAACATCAAAACTATGGTGATAATTCTACTAGAATTTACATTTGCGTCCGGCCAATAATATTTAAAACCCCAAGCTCTAACTAATTCTAAATCAATCGTTCCGACATTTTTATATCTTTGCTGTGATTTATTAAATTTTATTTTTCACTTTCCTAACATGACCATAATTTTTGTATAATGAAAATAATTTTGTCTTGCGTGACATTATTTCGAAAATAAACTAAAATAATTTACTTTTATATCTATCTATTTATTTATCACAGTAGTTAATACTGAATTATTGCGCGTTTAATAATACACATAAGAGGTGTTATGGCGTTGCCCGGCACTATTTCGCGGCACTCCTGAAACTGCCGTTACTGTATCCGGCACTCCAGTTGAAAACCACATTACTACATTTAACTATAAGTGCAAAACTGCCTTCCATAAAGAATTATATTCGGCCGAATAATTAATAAAAAAGTTTTAGTGGATAGGTTTGTCAGTTTATCTAGAAAAACACCTGAGAAAGATAGAAGAAAGATTACTGCCGAATATAATTCTTTACAGAAGGCAGTTTACACATATAGTTAAATGCAATAACTTCGAATCCGGTCATCCGTATAATTAATATAAAATTACATTAGTTTTAGCAGTTTCATTAAAAGTTATTTACTTCATACACATTTAAGAACTATTAACTAATGTTTCAAAATAATAATAATAATAAACAGATGGACTCCCATTTTTATTTTATTTTTTTTTTCAATTTTTTAAATAGAATTGCCTATTAGTGAATGTATTTTGTCACGTAATATTTCTATTTAGAGATACGCTTTGCATTTAATATGATTTTTAAGTTATAAATTCATTCGTAACTATTGACTTAAATCTTTTCGGTCAATCAGAAATTAATGTAAAAAATTTAAAAATAAATAAGTAGTCATGTTGTCTAACAAAGCCGCTTTAATTAATACAGCTGGATAAGCAAGCCAAAGGCATAGCCCGTTACATTTGAAACGGACTGTCATTGGTTTGTATTGTACTGTACTGTACATCCGGCTGTATTAAAGCCATTTTACTAGGAAACGTGCCCAATATATACAACTTTAATCAAATTTTCATTAAAAAGATTTGAAAATTAAACGCATATAAACATTTATTTGTTTTTTTCTTAAAGTTTTTGGGGATTCTACATATTAAAATAAATATATATTTTTCCGGGACTAATTTAACAAAAATTCTATTTTTATCATTAAACCTAACAATAGTCATTAAGATAAATGATTTTTCATATCGAATACTATTTTAGCAATCACTAGTAATAAAATAAATAAAAAAAATTGATTGAAAATTAAAGTAATTTTCTTAATTGTTACGCTGCAATTCCACTCCATTCCAATCTGATTGAAATTAAAGCTCATTTTAAGATGAATTTCAATATAATTTGGATAAAATTTGACAGGAAGTCATTAATAACGAGGGAAAAAATATTTTCAACGATATAGTGATTAAAGTGTATAATTTTTATAATATAAGAATGTAAATGGGGGATTAAAAAAAGTCATCTATTGTGACGGATACAAGGGGATAGCTACAGGGATTTAAGCTTCCCCACTGACATAAAGAAAAATAACAACATTTATTCTTTAGAACTTCAAAACGTTGGTTTTAAAAAAATATTTACGATGACAAATACTATTTACCGGACTATCCGCGATACAATCGTCGTGCACGTGTTAATAAAATGTACTTATTAATTATTCAAAATTTTATTCAAATATTTCAATAAATTTATCAGTAATATTTACAAATACAGGTTATAAAATGATTAATGGTCAATTAATACAATTATGAAGGATGAATATTGAAATGAATAGATGACAGATGAAAAAATGTTTAAAACATGCAAATATTAACATAAAATTTGTAATTATTTCACATATTTTCACAATGTACAATGAATGTATGATGAACAACAAACCTTTCATTTTATAAATGGATAGTGTAAAATCACACAATGAAATTCAACATGTGTATAAGGCACTACAATTATTAAAAAATATATATATATATGTATATATATTTAAAATAAAACCAGTAAATTTGTATGCACAGTTTTTATCTTCAAAGAAGTTAAAATACTTTTGGGAAAATAAGATATGGAACANAGGTGAGCCGTTTACAGCCCGGCACACGTATTTGTAAAATCTAAGTGACTCATACAACGTGGAATTCATATAAAACGGAATTATCAACAGTGTTATAGGGGGGTCGACTTGTATACGAAAATATAATAGTTATCTGGTTATAAACAATGATAAGTTACTAAAAATTTGTAAGTTTTAAGTTTTGGGGTATTTATATATTTGTAAATAATGTTAAAATAAGCTTTAAAGATATACAGTATATAGCTTTTAGTTGTACACTGAAGAGGCGCGAAGATTGAATAACATCTGTGTCCGAAATGCATTTGTACTTTAAGTAAATTGTCCAGGAAGGATTGAGCCTAAATGTGAAATCCGGAATTTTTACCGAATTTTCCGATTAATATCCCGCATTTTTCTAAACCCCCAATTAAATTTTCCTTTAAATTCTAAATTAAAACCTAACTTTAAAAAAGGGAAAAATTCCAATCTCCCCTTTCGTTCAAAGTAAACATCCGTCCATTTTGAAAGCAATCCCACATTCCAACTCCTAAGTTGATAGTTAGCATGGGCCCGGGGACAACTTTGACCCATCCGCGTACCATTTACCTCACAACAATTGGTCACATGACCATTCTTCCACTACGAAACTATAAAAGCCACTTGCTTCCCCCTCTCGGGGGGAGTCGTTCATCCGCCATCACTTCAATACTGTGTCCTACGAATATTATATCCTACAAATAATTGTCCTAAGAATCTTATATCCTACGAATACTGTGTCCTACGAATCCTACGTGATCCTTCAAATATTACGTCTAATCGTATTTTCCTCAACGAGAAACATAAATTTTTTCCTCAAAGGATTATCATCAGAAAGAGGTATGGAACAACTTTTTGGAACTCTCTCTCGGCCCTTCGCGTTTTAGGGACTCAGATTTTTTCCTTGAAATTAGTTATTGTAATATCTATGTAGCTAATAAATCGTTGTTATCTTGTTAAATTGGTGTCCTCTTTTACTCGTATATTGCCTGTCATCTTACCGACGGCACTCCTCTCTCCGCCACTCGACCCGAAACATTAAATCCCGTTACCGCGGGAAAGGGAAGAAGAAACATTTAAGCCATCTTGACAGTGAGCAGGTTTAACGACCTGTCGCCGGAAAGGGAGACCAACCTCCCCGGCGGATCACATAAATGTAGTTGGATAAATAAAAATTTTATTTTCATATGAACTTCAAAGAAGTTACCGCTTCCTTCAAAATACAAGGGTATTTTTTTCTTCTTATTTCTCCGGATAGTTTTTTTTATAAAGTGTATCTATTTCTGCTGAAATATTGTTTATAAAATGAATCCTTCAATATTTTATTCTATAACTTCCATATAATACCATCTGAAACATTTTCTGATATTTTTAATTTTATAGAAGTAATAAAAAAGAGCTACGTTAAAAAACATGTTTTAAATTACCAATAAAGGAGACCTATTAGAGAAATAACGGAAATAAATAGCTACAAATATAAATATTTGAAATACAAAAATTATTCCTAGAAATGATACTTGATACAATATAATTAATACATTCAATAATACTGTAAGAGCATTTTAACGCCAATTAACACAAATAATTTGTTATTATTTTGTATTTAAATCTATATAAAACAGTTATATATTAATAGAAAGTCCCTTAAAAAGCCCCAAAGCTGAAAGTCCATATAAATCAAAACAGAGAGATTGCAGTAATAATGTACTGTACGGTACAGGATATCATCAATCAAATAATATAATCTATGATGAATTCACATAAACTTTTTCAATAAAGAGGATCATCTTTTGTCCAAATCCCGCAATTGAGGGTATTAATATTATATTGAAAATGGATATGGTTTTTATTTATCTACGAAAAGATTTTCTTTTAAATTCATTTAGAAACTGTAACTTTTACTTCAGAACTAATCGTTATATTAGGATAGCAATAAAACAAGATATTCCCTCGGATTTTTTGGGAAAGTTTCGATTTTTACGAATATAACAACCTCTTGTAAATAATCCTGTAAATTATACAGATGAAAAGCCAGAGTTATAAATTAAGGTAAAATAGAATAAATATAATTCAAAATTAGCTCTGTATTCATAATTTAAACATGCATCTTTGAAAACAGATTTATAATCTAATAATTAGTAGTTGTACAATTTTTAGAAAACGTACGAATGAGATAAATATATGCAAATGGAGGCACGACCGTCAATCTGATAGTCAAATGTGATTGCAACAAGTTATTTTGCGTGACTAACGATCGTACGCTGTTCTGTTTGCCTTCTATTCGACTGCATATAGCCAACTGCATATCCCCCCACTTCTATGATAAAGAAAAACCTTCCGTCATACATATATATAGGCCTATATATATTTTATCTATAAAAAGAAATTTTGGGATTTTAAAAAACTGTTACAATGTTATAAATAAGAAAATATACAAAATTAATAATTTATTTAAATCGAAATTACTCGTATTATTTTATTCTAGTGATTTCTATATTATATGTATTGATGACCTGTAAGCTATTCAGAAATATGGGGAAAAAATTTACACGTTGATTTTTGAAAATTTTTTATGTCGTCTTATTCCTATTTTTAACAATTTACTCTCTATATTGTTTGTTTGACTACATTATATATTAAATGATAATTTTCATAAACATTACGATCTGAATATATTTAAGTCTATTTATTTAGAAAATTTATAAATACAGTATTGTAAATAATGTTTGTAAATATTATGATAAATGTACGACAAATATTTATCATGAAATCTGTTTTTATCATCTATTTCTAAATAATGGAAGCAAAGTATGGTATTTTAAAATTAGTTTTACTATATTATTAATAAAAACTGTATTGAATTATATGTAATTTGAATATAAATAGAATTATATAAAAATATATTTTTTTAAATAACATTTTCATTTAAGTTTTTCAACCCTGCAATTTCAATACTGTACTTTTGTATATTAAAAGAGAAATAGGAATAATTTTATAAGGAGATGCGCTAATTACATATCAATTTAAGAAAGAATAGAACAAGGTCAAACTATATCGATTGCCAATATCATACTTTACTAGAATCGATACGGACGGAGTACCTAATTATATACAGTACCTTATAAGATAGAATGTTATATATTTCGTAATAAATGTGTACTGTACATCGATAAAATTTTCTATATAAGTGTATACGTAATTTATAAATATATGCTTTAGAAAGTTTGGAACGTACAGATAGAGGGAAGGCTCTTTCCAGAGTCAGGGATTCCCAAATTTAGATCTTTTACGTAAAAATATGAAATAAAAAGTCTTTTTATTTCTTTTATTGACTTTATTCGTATATTTTTATGGCTTTTAGAAAAGAGTGAGTCCCGTAGCCTATACGTGAATGCTCTCATCTGTTAGGCGCTGTATATCGTGAGAAGTTACATATTTATAACACCAAATATACAGAAAATTGGTGTAAATACTTTAAAATCGATAAGTATCGAGTGAAAAGTTGGGATATAATTACATTTTTCGCTTCACTCTAATATAAACTATAATTTATTTTACGATAAAAAAGAAATCGATATTTTCTCACGGATCAATCTAGATTTTGCCGATCGATTGTGGTGACGACATTCCCTATACCATTTTATAGAAGATTAATTTCCGATTGGTTTCCGTAAGCTTCTTAAAAGCAGAACGGACTTTACTTTCGTCGGATGTTTGTCAATACATAACCTAGCAACAATGTGTTTACTTTAAAAGGCAAAATGCTTGCGAAGTTTTGTTACCTTGGATGCGGAACCAAAACAAAAACCAAAGGATTGTTGACGAATAATTGAATTTAAAAGCGAAAAATTATATTAAAAATTCATTCTCTTGTTATTATTAAATGAAAACGTTTTCAGGTGTTGCAAAATATTCATTTAATTAAACGAGTAAAATCAAAAAAATCTAGGCCTATCGAGTTCTAGGCTTAGAAATTCGATAGGCCTAAATATACCTTCCAATTCTCTTCTTTTAATGTTTAAAATAGACTAAAATTGGAATTTTTATCGCTTATTCATTCGTTAAATTTCTATTACCGAGCAATAAATTGAATTTTCTGTACAAAAAAAAAAAAAAAAAAANATGAAATGATCGAATATTGTATCGAACGTTTCTATTGGTTAAATTTAAAAAAAATGAATACCGCAGTAATATACTAATATTGTTTTATTGGCCAAAAATACAATTTATTATTATTACTTTAATTTTTAAATTAAAAATTTAAACGTCTTTCGAATAATTTTTCATTTTATTAAAATTATTCTGAATTTAAATTGTATTAGTTACTATTGCAATTTAAACTTCAAAACTATTTTAAAATTAATTCGTACTGTAGATTATATTTTATTAATTAAACTAAGAAATTTTTAGCAATTTGAAGAATTTATATTAATAATGATAATAATTGAAAAAAGGCTTAAAATTAACGTTAATAATAATTCGATGACGCGCGTGCGTATTAAGAAAATTTAGCAGACGATAACGAATATAAAATTTAAAACGCTAAATATATATTTGCCGGTTATAAAAAATTACTTCCAATTTGAATATTTGTAACATTAATAAATATAATTTCCCAACAACTTCTTTGTATTTTAAATATAATTGTAGGAAAAAAATTGAGATGACGTCATTAGGCGGTGGCTGGATGTTATCCAAGGTCAGGGTTACTATACAATTGTCATTTAAATCAAAATTTTTATTAAATTTTACTGTTTTATCGACATAGTTTTCAACAAAATGACACTTTGTGGTAAATCCTACAATATTTTAATTAATTAACTGTATTTTATTCAAGAAAAAAAGCAGTTTTGAAAGTTCGGATGTGGTCAGCCATTTTGACCTTGAACTGATTTTAATTCTTAAAAGTAAAGAAAAAAAACTAATAATAAATTAAAATTAATAATAGTCCAAATTATAAATTATTGTTCCATTTAATATTTTTAATTTTAAATATTACTATATTTACATAAAATTATTACACATTAATGGCAGGATACATAAAAATTTATTACTTTTAATGTTTAATGGATGGACCTAAAGAGAGTTGGAATTAAATTTAAATAATCTCAACTTCTCTAAAATATATTTTCTTATTTACTGTTTAATTCGAATTCAATCCCACGATGATGATCATTTAATTAATATTGTATTTGTTTTTTTAATTACGGATTGTATTGTGAAAATCGATTGTACCGTAGTCTGTGTGATTTCTATCGAGTGTCAGACTATTAACAACAACTGTTTTTGTAGAGGAAGGTCGATGTTACTATAGCAACAATATCATCGCATTTTCTTTTTATTCATTCAATCAAGTAACTTTCAAAAATTTTTCACAATTATTTATCATACATGTCTAAACAATACATAATACTCAATATCAAATCTGTTAAAATATAAAATTAGTGATTACATTTATTTAAAAACAATAAAATGACGATTCTCTTATCAATTTATATGCATATACTTGTAAAGGTTACACTACTATGCTATAATATTAATGGAGCGATTATGCTGTTTTAATTATGAGAATGAACTATATTAATTATAAGTTAGACACGAAGAGGTTACAAATTAATTCGCAATTAAAACAATTCGAGCTGGTACTAAGAACAAAAATTTTAATACATATAATTAAAAATTATCCGAGTAAAATCTAAAAACTGTCGTTAAATTATTCAAAATATAATGTTAAAATGAATTTTAAAACGAGTTATAAAATCGTTTTTTGTCGTCTATATTTAGCAGAATTTATTTTGATAGTAATATCATAAAATTAAATTTTTAATTATTGTTATATTATAATAAGTAAGAATTTGTAACAAATCCACAACTTACCTCCAAACAGTGAGGTTCGTGCAGAGGTAGAGATTTACTACCGAAAGGCCTACCGCAGATATAGCATATCAGTGCCCTAGGGCCTTTGGAACCTCCAGAATCTTCTACAGTCACTGCAGTGTCCTGGGATTTCTTTTTAGTTTTAGTTTTGTTAGATTCTTTGTCACTGACATATCCATCTTCCGTACTCCTAGTCATGACGTTTACTCTGGTACCGTTGATATTAGGAACGTGACTGTGCAATCTTTCGGGTGCCACACTGCGATTACAACTGTTACAAGGTGAAGGTATAGACTTGGACTCGACTTTGGTATTGGCTGGTTTTTTAACAGCAAATTTTCGTTCTCTGTAGTATTTCCTCTTTGGTTTAGGCTGAGTATTTTCTTGGTTTTTCTTTTTAGTCTTTTCTACGTCATCTACATCTCCTATAACAGGATGACTGATATTAGGTGTTGGCTTTTTTAACGTTTTCGTTTGCGGTCGTTCAATTTTCTCGGATTCTTCCGTGATTTCTGGTGTGGAGCGTTCCAAAGTACGAGTGTTCGGTCTGCTGCCTTTACATGTATCTGAATGATCGGCTTGACGGATGGCCGGTATGGTCACGTCACACTTATCGCACGTCCAAGTTTCGATATTTGTTTCACCTGTTTCTAACTGTCGTTTTAGACATTTTGGTTCGTGCAAGTTTATGGAGTTAGAACCAAATTCTCGTCCGCAGACATGACAGGTTACAAAACCCCTAGGTCCCATTGCAGTATGTCATCTCCGAATTAACATTTTCGAATGCCTTTTGACGTTCTTTAATCTGTAAAATGAATAAAATAAACTTTGTTAGTTTAGGTCTAAGTGTTCTACTAAACAAAACATCGAATGTTTTTCGTATAGGATAATTTTTTTTTTCGAAAAATTCAAATTACGGAATACGATTTGCACTGGAAACTTTTAAAGTGTAATATAAATATGTAACAGTTTTCGGTGTAAACCTAAATAGAATTACCGACAAAAATTTAATATTAATATAAGAATCTTTAACTATTAATATATGTATAAAATTTATTTGAAAAACTATGTCAAATATTTTTAGCAGACTGTCATTACTGTTCCACATCGGTGAATCCGAAGTTCTGAAAATTGATTTTCAATTAGTAGAGAAAGAAAAAAAACTTTAAATAGTTAACATAAATACGAATTTTTTTAATAAACGCCTTTTCTTTATTTCATCTATTTTGTTAAAGATGTACAATTGAGTTTGTCTTTTTTATAAGTTTTTATAAACTGATGTTTCACATTTTCACAATTCTCCATTTTTTCGAAACACATTATTTGATATATCTCAAATAAACCGTTACCATAAAAATAATAGATAACATAATACAATCGTTTTTTGAATGTGTAATGTATGATTATCATAATTTCAAATAAATAAAAGTTTTCTTTTAAAGTGAAATTTCCCTTCTTACGATGATATAACTAAATATTTAAGTTAATCGCTGTTTTACAGGGAAAAATATTTTGAACAAAGATGCACGTCTCTATTATTATTTATATTTGAAACTTTTACTTAAGTTATATTACATAACTTGCATAATCCTGTGGAAGTAAATAAACGTGCTTTCCTAACTTAGATGACTTGTAATTTATTAGAAATTAAGTAAAATTGGGGATAAAATTTACATCGATTCATTTATTCAAATTCATTCAGGTAAATGAATATATTTTATCTAAATTTATACTGTTTTACTTGAATGATAGGTGTACTTTTTTTGTATGAATTTTAATTCTATATAAATAGATTTTAGCAGTTCTATAATATATATTTAATAGTACAGGGTATGTGAATTGTTTTATTGAAACAACCTAGACCTATTTCAATAAATTTAAAATGACATGTCTTCTTTGCCATTTCTTACGTTGTTTTATAAAAATATTTAAATAATTTTTACCATTTTTCCTTTCTTTTAAATTTTAAATAATAATTTATTATTTATTAAAAAGTTTAAGCATAAAGTTTAAAAACTTTAAATTGTTTGTGTTTTTTTCCAAAATTTTAAATAACTTTTCTCTATTAATATAATTATAAGGTAAGTTAAAATAAGAAGACGAACTATTTTTTTCTTTTGTAGAATATTATTATTTTTGAATAAACTATAAAATGTTAATAACGATGACAATAAACGAAAAGTTATTTAAATATTTTTTAAATTAATGAAAAAAATTATATTTTATTTTATAAAAATAACGAATGATGATGATAATTTCTAAATTCAGTATTCTTATTGTATAATATAATTTAAAAAACAGCAATCAATTTTAAACACTATAAATTTCTCTTTTTGTGGATTAATGGATAAGCTATATAAATACAAATATATTAATTTTGAAGTATAGAGTAAATAATAAGTAATTAAATTACAAGAGAATATCTTCTTTTAAGCTTGAATGATAAGAGAATCAAGGTTTAAGCGAAGAAATTAAGAGGACAGTCAAATCATCAGGATCTTTTACCGCTGCGCATACCTTAACTTTTAAACTAAAGTAATGGAAATAATCAGGTAAACCATAAGTTAATAAATGGTATTATAATATCCATCGCGATATATTTAACTATAAAATATAAAGGAAAATTAAATTATTCAAAATATCCATTATTATTTCATAATATAATATTGTATATAGTCCACAAAGACCTACTTTTTACAAGAATAATGTAGATCATATTGAACTATCGATTATACCCGAGTCTTACATATAAATTACATCATGATGATTACACAAGATGCTTTAAAACCGCGAATAAATATTATTAATTAATTTTTAAATGTTCTTAGAAAATTTACTAATGTTTATACTAACTTACACTTGAATAAACGCTTTAAAACTAAGTTATTATTCTGTTATGCGTAAAGCCCATTATAGAATTATCATACTTATAGTATATAGTTGTTTTATATATATACTATATATTAATTTCTCATAATACTCATGTTATTTAATAATATTAACTGTTAAATCTTCATAAATTATTGTCAGATCGATAAAAAAGAGAAAATATTCATTTAATAATTTATGAAACGAATTGCATATGAATGTTGATGTCAGAATAATATTGTACGTTACATATAAAAACACAATCTGCCTACTAAATTTAGTTGATTTCCCGAATTGCAGATTGAATTATTAATTCTAAATCTATTTTAATGAATTCTGAAAGGTTAAATAAAAATAAAGTATTCTGAATTTTAATAGACAAATGTTTCATTCCCATACTTTTATAATCCCTTTTAAAATTTCGCTAAAATCAATTAATTCCAAGAAAATAACTTTGTATAACAATATAATTTCAAATTTCTTAAATGCTGTCAGTAAATATTGTTAATATATGTAAAGATTCATTTTAAAAAAATAGGTTGTTAAATATTGCTTGTTAGCATTAATTTGGTAAAAACATACAATAAGTACTGTAAAATTATTTTAATTAAAAGTTGTTATTTTATCAAAATTAATTATTAATATAATAATAAATTTATAACGTTATGTGTATAAACCATGTATAATATTTATGTAGATATACATTATAAATTATATGTAAAAGTTATACATAGTATTAGTCTTACACATGTAAAATTTATAAAAATATATATTTATACTTCAAAATGTATTAAGAATTTACAATAAATATTTCATACGTTTTATTGTTAGTCTATTAACAAGCCAAATAAAGAGCGACAAGTAATTTTTTGAATGAATTTTACGTAAATATCAAATTTCATAAATGAAAAATTCGATTTAAAAAGCTTTAAAATAATAATAATAACCAAACAAGATTTCAGGATGAGAATTTTTCCTTCTTATAACTTAAATTTCGGGTCAACTTATAAGAAGAAAAAGTTTTATTTAAAAACGCAAAATTCGTAACTTTTTCGAATACAAGAACTTTAAAAAACGTGTTACCACTAGCATAAAAACCTAGATTTAAGAATATAGAAAGTCTTACTTCAAGAATAAGTATTTTCAATCATAATTTTCTTGATTGATGAGAAATGATGCGGAACAGCTCCTCACTAACTTTTCTAACAGATCGTTTCACAGTGCCATCTACATAGACTATGTCGTAGCAAACCTTGACCTATAAAATTACGTTATCGATCAAATACCGAATCACTATAATAAAATACTGGCTAATATCGTAAAATACGCTCTTAACTTAGAAGAAAGAATTAAAAAAAAACTTTTTTAAGTTTTACTTAAATAATTCGCCTCTATAAAAACTTTTATATTTATTTTTTTTAATTATTATTATTATTATTATTTTAATGTTATTTTTATTTATTGCTATTTTCTTCCGTTGCAAGTCGCGTCAATCGTACGGTTGTTTAGTCGGTTGCTAGGCGACTGTGTTGATAAACAACGACGTGTGTCGATGTTCGATTGAAGTTCGTATGTTTATTTTAAAAATTAATACGTTAGAAACTTTTTTCCGTTTTAACACTTTTCAGAATTATGTCTAATCTGATCAGGTTAGTTTTAAAAAAATATTAACGTGCTGTTATAAAGGTTAATGTTCTTAATTGATCGAATATCGTCGGCACGATATGCTCATCGTTATATTGTTCTTTGTATTAATTCGTATGTAGTTTCTGTGTTAAATATTCGTTTTCGAATCTTCGTAAACCTTTTAACACAATTAAAATTTTCTTTTTATTATCCTTCGACTACGATGAAGTTTAAACAAGTTTATATTCGATAAAACTATGCACATCACGTTTTATAGCCTGCGTGTTATATTACGTTCGATTAAAATTAAAAGCAAAATTATTTAAATCGTAAACTAAAATCTATAAAAGTCCTCGTTTTATTCAATTTTGTTTGTAGAAATGATGTTAATTTAGGTATAACATGTGGTGTCAGTAAATGTTTAGAAAATAAAACTAGAATAAAATATTAATTCATATCCTACTTTACATGTAATTTTATACTTGTTCCGAAATAGGAAAAACTAGAATACAATATGATGTAACCACGTTGTTATGTGAGTTTTAAAGTCTTAATATAAAAAGGAATAAGAGGTGGTTGACAAAGAAGTGTTCACAGGGGATAGACAAAAAAGTTAACTAAATCAAATAGATGGGCTAAAACGAGAGATTTATTTCATAAAGAGAAAAACTGTGAACTTAAGAAACAAAAGAGAACGTATTAAGAAGGGCAGATATAAGCGGTGTATAAATGTTATGTCTGGATGATTTATAATAAAGAAATGGAGAAAACTAGTGCAGTAATACTTGTAGAAATGCTTTCGTTTGCATGCTGCAAATATACAATACAATATATATATATATATATATATTTATTTATTTATACAGACATACAAAAATCATATCATGCATATTATAGGCCTATATATATTTTATCTATAAAAAGAAATTTTGGGATTTTAAAAAACTGTTACAATGTTATAAATAAGAAAATATACAAAATTAATAATTTATTTAAATCGAAATTACTCGTATTATTTTATTCTAGTGATTTCTATATTATATGTATTGATGACCTGTAAGCTATTCANATGTATGATATGATTTTTGTATACATTGAATATTTATATATAGGCCTATATATAAGTAGAAGTAGTTCTCCTTATTTCATTAATATATATTTTCATATCTTTCACTAATGTAATACGTACGCATACGCATTTTTTATAGTTATCTATATATATAATCGAGACGGGTTGATAATAATAATCTATATATATATATATATATGGACGTGTTTGTTCCTATATTTCACTCTGCAGCCAAAACTACACATCGCACATGAATGTTGTTTGTGTGTGGTAGTAGACCCAAGTCTCCCATCGTGCACTATGGTGGTTTCGTCTCGATAGCTATAAGGGTGTGGGAGATATGGGGTTGAAAGTGGTTGACTTCGAAAATGTGTAACAATGGAAGTGTTCACTAACAAAGAAAGTGTTAAGAGAAAGCGGCGTGCAAGATTTACAGGCGCAGATGCGGTTTTTTGCGTTTTTGCGAGAATTCGAACATATTTTTAGACCCATGTAAAAATTCTTTAATTAGTTTGGAAACGGGGGACCTAATTCTTTCATTCTGTGAAAACGGGTAAGATTGGCTATAATTTAATCTTAATCTTAAATGTTTTCGAATAGTCGAAAATGTTTTGGAATAGTCAAGGACCGTAATGTGTGAATAGTGGGGATGACTTTTGGAGACGTGTGACGCACACGCTTCAGTTGATTTTTCATAAGTAAAAGTGTGCGAATAACAGAAAAAAGTAGAAAGTGAAGAGTGAATAGTGAAGTGTTAAAAGTAAAAATATAAAAAACAATGCCAAAGCGTAAGAAAGAATTTTTGCGGTCTCGAATCATATCGAAACAGAAATAATCAGACAGAAGAGCAACTTGAAAATTATAGGGAAACACATCGAATCAGACAAAGATTATGTAGAGGAAGAAAAACAGTCTTATATATATATATAAAAATATATTACATACAAATAAAAACCCAGCGAAGCGGGACCTTGCAGCTAGTATTAATATAAATTAAATAATGTTTTCTTCGTTATCACTAAAAGCA